AATTACAGTCAACCATGGACACTTGCTATACAGAACAAAGAAAAATAGGAATGTGAAATATAATTGTTATGATAATCAGAAAGATGCAAGTGTTGGCTCTAATTTTTTTAAGAATGACTGCAAAAAACATCCCCAAATTTATAGACAAAACATTACAGATGCATGATGAGATTTATTCCTTAACAATAAGATAGGCCACTTCTTAGCCTCATCCGACTTAGTTTTGTTCTTTCTTTTCTTGAAATCAGAAAGCCGTGATCAGTTGTCGACATCCCTTTTTGTATGTTGACACCATTTTCACTTTCTGAACATTCTGTCTTATTACTGTTGATTTTTGTCTTGCATAAATTGTTTGCTTGATGTTATTTTTGCCCTGTTCTGTTCTTTTTTTTCTCTTGTTAATGTAAACTTTGTTAATTCTGTTTGTTAGGCATCTCTGCCAATTATTCTACACAACATTTCTTTCTAAACAAAACAAGAATTTCTCCTTATAAACATTAACTTTATTACTCTTTTCAGGGATATATATCCAGAGACCCCCCCTTGGGAAATGCTTGTGAACCATGGATCATACTTAAACCTTCGAGATACAATATCAATTCTTATACAAACATTCCTATGACAAAGTTTAATTTATAAATTAAGTACAATAGATGATTAACAACAGTTAACTACAAAAATTAATGAAGCTTTAACATCAGAGACCCTAATCCCAGAAAGCTTGCCATCTTCAGTCTTCTAGAATCATGTTCTTTTATTATCCTTTTTTTCTCACTAAAGTCACTGGATTGAAGTACTTAACGCTAAACTCAGAATATTCTCCAATACCCATTTCATACAGCCTCAAAATCTCTCTGTAATTGGTCAAATTTTAAAAAGATTTCTAGGTAATTTTCTGTAAGGGTTCACCAAGATTGTCAGGATATATATCACAACCACTAAATCCTCTAAACCTTTGCTACGATATGGAAAAATAACTTCGTAGACTGAGACTAAAAGAATATTTCTCAGACAACAAACCTACTTCTAATACAGACAACAGCGCTAACCAATCATGCTCCAAACTTCCTCCGATGAAGAATAACAATATATGGACCCCACCAAGCGGACGCAACCAACACTTTGGATCAATATGTCCACAAAGCCAGACAACACATGGATAACTTCTTAAAAATCAAAGGTAAAAAAATACAACTTATCCAAAATAGAACACCAAGCCATCTATACTCTTAAAAACAACCAAGACATAATTATCGTACCAGCCGACAAGGGCGGAGCTATAACCATCTTAGACACTAACAACTACATTAAAGAAGCAGAATCACAACTTCAAAATAACAGATTCTATGTACCCTTAACTCTAGACCCAACTAGCACATTCAAAACAGAATTATATGGTAGACCCATAATATCAGGCATTGGTACCCTCACAGAACTTATATCTGGGTACATAGACAATATCCTAAAACCTTTATTGCCTGACATACCTAGTTATATTAGAGACACTACTGACTTTCTCAACAAATTACAAAACATTAACTTAGTCCACCATGATACAATCCTAGTAACGATGGATGTTTCGTCCCTTTACACGAACATTCCACATGTTGAAAGAGTATCAGTTTGCTATGAGTTCCTTAGTAACAAAAAATTACCTAACTACCAAATTACAGATATATGCCAATTAATAAATTTCATCTTAACACATAATAATTTTAAATTCAACAACAAACACTATTTACAGATTAGTGGCACAGCAATGGGCACAAAAATGGCACCTAGTTATGCTAATATCTTTATGCACATTCTAGAAAAGAAGATACTAGACAATTCAGAATATAAACCATCACATTACTTTAGATATATTGATGATATTTTCTTACTATGGACTCATGGATCAGAAAAATTAAAAACTTTTTTCACTTTCTGCAACAATTTCCACGATACAATTAAATTTACCATGGAGCACTCATACACATCTATCCCTTTCTTAGACGTTATGATAAAATTAAACAAACATACACTTTCTACCAGTCTATACAACAAACCCACAAACCAACATAAATTCCTGCACTTTAACAGCTGTCATCCCTTTAAATTAAAAACATCTATTGTATACAGATCATTTCTAAGAATCAAACGCATATGCTCAGACCATTTAGATTTTCTATACAACATTAATAACTTAACAAAACAATTCCTAAAATGCAAATACCCAATAAAAATAATAAAAGAAACACTAAATAAAACTATCCTGATAAATCGTAACACACTTCTCACATACAAGAAAAATAAAAACAACAATCGGATTCCCATGGTTTTTAACCACAATCAATATTCCCACACACTTATTCACAATTTAAAAAATGATTACAAGAACCTCCAATTAGACAACAAGATCAAAGACATTTTCGATAAACCACCCATAAATGCAAAGAAACAATCACCTAACCTATCAGCTATCCTCACCTCTACCAAATATCTAAACAATAAAAACCAATCAGGAAATTACAAATGTAACAAACCTCGTTGCTTAGTTTGCAAACATTTAATAATAGCTAATATATTTTCTGTACCCAACACCAATATCAGGATACAGCCACCTAACCTCACCTGCGATAGCCATAACATAATCTATTATTTATTCTGCAACTTGTGTCCTAATAGTGGATATATTGGTGAGTCTGGAAATAATTTTAGATTTCGTTTCAATAATCATAAACAAACAATACGTCAAAACAACCCTTATTCTCCCATAGCTAAACACTACAATCAATCAGGACACAGATTAGAAAACTGCAAATGTTTATTGATAGATTCCGATTTTACTTCCACATTCACACGCAGAAAAAAAGAAATATATTGGATTTTAAAATTAAATACACATAAACTAGGGTTGAATAGGGACTTAGGTGTTTTAAATCTTTATAAATATTTCAATAGTTAAGCAATTTTTTTAGATATAGTAAAAAATTTTTTTTAAACAACATTTAAAATATTTATGACAGTTAGATTTAAGTTAGGAATATCCGAACAGTGACGTTCCATATCACGTGACGTCCACGTCTTGCAAAGGACGCTACTTGCTAACAAACAGTAATTTTAATTTATTTGTAACAAACAGTTATTTCTGATGAAAAATTGAGGACAATTTGAAATATCAAATATATATATAAATAAATAAATACTTTCATAAAATAAAACATTATTATTTTTTAATTTGAAACTTTTTCTATATATATATATATATATTTATAGCCTCTGTTTTAACTGATGGCTCTTTGTTGGCTTTTGGCTTAATAGTTCTAAATCTTAGGCCTTAGGTTCAAGCCAAGTGGGCTTGTTAAAAGACATTGGAATTTTCAATTTGGGCTGTACTTGTTTTGCATGTGAATTTTAACACCAAAAAGTTAAGTTTGGTCTCTTCAACTTGGCCAGCCTCTTCTGATCTTCAACCCTTTATGGTAATCTGTTGGAGAAGAATCCCATTGATGATGACGACAGTTGTTACCTACATCTCAATGCCGTTGGGAAAAGGGTTCACAGTATGGTTCATTTTCAAGCCAACTTTGAACTGTCATTTGAACCTCTATTGTCAAGGGAAGCAAAGTCCTTTGGATGTTATTGGAAGTTGCCCTATTGTTGCTGGTTACAAAGTAGCCCTTATAACAATTTGAACTACAAGGTTACATAAATGTAGGTTTGCCAATGGACAACAGTAATAATAAAATAGAACAATTATAATGCCTTCCAAAAGCTAAGCAGAGTATTAAGAGACAGGAAAATTACATTAGAAACAGAAAAAAGTACTGAACTGTTATGTGATATCTGTTCTCCTCTATGGCAGCAAATTGTGAACAATCTCCTCAAAGATGAAGAGCCTTGAAGCAAAAGAAATGTGGTTCTACTGAAAGGTGCAGAGGATTACCATGGACCAAACATGTGAGCAACGACAAGGTTTTGGAGACAATAGAAACAAAAAAGAAACTTCTACTTAACACCAGAAAGAGGCAGTTGAAATTTCTTGGGCATGTAATGAGGAAGGAGGGCTTGGAAAAACTAATACTCCCAGGACAGAGTGAGAAAAAGTAGGACAAAAGAAAGCAGCTTGTAACATTCTTGATAAGCTTGAGTAAATGGAAGGTTAGACAGGGTTTGGGAGAAATAACAAAAAGACAAAGCATATTAAGAGCTACAAGGGATAGGAAGATGTGGAGAGCCATGATCGTTTAAATCCTGACAAAGAAGATATTAGTATACTGTAATAAGCTATATGACAGAAACCAGAAGGTTCAGTAATTAAACATTGTTTTATGTCATGGCTGTAATTTGTTTCAAATTAAAAAATGCTCACGGTCATATTGTGTTGAAACACTGTTTCTCATACAATCACCAAAGTAAACACCAAGACTGGTCAGTGTGTAGATGGGTGACCACTTGGGAATATCAGGTGCTGTAATCTTGGATCTGTGGCTGGTGTAATGAATAGAAATTGGAAAATCGGACCAAATTGGAAATCAGAGCAAAGCTCCAATTCCAGTTGGGTTTGTTATATTCACTTACATACAAATATCCTTCACAAAAGCTATGAATCCACCTCTTCTCCCTCCAGCTATGGGTTAATGAGTAGAACTTGTATCAGTAAATCATTATTATCTCAAAAAAATTCTTACACTCTAAATATATTTTCTGGCTTTAAATAACCTGCAAAGGGTTGATAAGCCATAAAAAACAAATGAATCAAATTAAAAAATAATCCTGGGGAACAACTTCTAAATGAATAGATTTTACAATTTTTGTCAGTAAGATATTCTCTTTCCATTTTTTTTTTTTTCAAATTATAAAGAAGAATGCAGACTGAAGAGGGATGGGTTCTGTCAGGATAACTTGCCTTAGGCACATCCACTACTGTTATGGCTGCAGTACACATGACTCACAGGATTCATGATTATGATGACTGCAAATAGGATTCAAGAAAAATAAATTTATCAAATGCTTACCCAATTTGCTCACGTCTACAATATTTCTGTTTTCATCGTCAAAAAACAACATGTCTTCATAAGGAATTTTACTCTTTTCGTTGAATCTGTCAAAGAAAATTCAATTCTGACATGTTCAAACAAATATGTTCTAAAAATAACCAGAAAATCAATATTGACTTCCAAAAGTTTAAACATATTCAGAGCTTATTGTATTACAGACAAATTAGTCCATACTAAAAATAGAAGACTAAATAAAATACACATAGGATGCATTTTATTTAGTTTTCTTACTTTAAAAAAATAATTTTTTAATTAAGCTAGTATGCTTTGAATCAAATTTAAGATATATTTAAATCCATTTAAAATAATCAAAAAATAATCTCAAATATTTTAAAGTCTAAATATATATATATTTTTTTAATTCTGTAAAAAGATTCTATTTATTCTATAATAATTTTTTAATAATTAAAGTTCTAAATCTTTGCAGTTCTTAATGATCATTAGCTTTTCTTTTTAAGAAATTTTCTGTTGATACCATATAACTCAGTCAAAACTGTCACTTCGAGACAATTTTTCAAGCAATTTCAATTAGAAAAGTAAATGCACTGTAACAGTGAGAATCTTTTATTTCCCCAAGTACTTTCCATCTCTTTCTGTGATCATCATCTGGTATGCAATTGGTAAGGCAAAACTTCTTGCCTCATTTAATTGCAATATGTGAAAAAAACATTTGTGAATATGAAAAGATTATGATCAAAATAAGCAGACATAATGTTTGTAACTTATATACATTTATATATGTTACAAATTAAACTCAGTACAACTGATTATTAAAAGATAAAATTTTTTGCAGACATCATTGTTGTTTTTGGTTCAAATCCATGAATTTGTTTTGCCAATGCTAAGTCTTGAAAAAATGCAATATAAAATTCACTAATTTTTATACAGATTATGTTGAATATGTTAAAATTCTTCACTTTTTTAACAAGAAAAATCCCAAGTTGATGTTAAAAATTGCCGCAATACATTGTTGATTTATTTAAGATAGAATCATACATTATGACATGTCTCTAATTTGTATTTAGATACATTGTATTTATTTTCAATTTTTCTAGTTGAATTGTTCACCTATATTGCATATGATCCATTATTGTACATAATTAGGTTACAATAAAATTTATATTTTATATGAAGAATACCTTATGAAAATTGTGATGTAGTAGAGTGGGGGGGGACTGTATAATGGATACAGGGAGAAACTGTTAAGACACTTGCACCAGCCCTGCTAGTAGCAATTACTAGCAGGGCTGTTGCAAGGGTCTTGTGGGTCCCTCCCTGAATCTATGATATGAATGCTCCCCCCCCACACCACCACCACCAGATACTCTACTATAACTACTACTTTCTTGAAAATGGACAAAATTTGGCATCTTGGTGTTATCAAGTATCTGCAGAAAAATGGTTAGCTGCCAAGGAATTCATGCTAACATGATTGCTACATCAGGATATGATGCTCCAGCTTTATCAACAATGCAAAAGTGGGCAGCTGAATTTAGAAAGGGAGAATCTTGAAGATGACCCAAGGTCTGGATGTCCTGCAACTGCCACCCCCAAGGATAACATTGATCATGTTCATCACATCATGATATAAATCAAATAGCCAATGCTATTAGAATATCCCATGAGAGAGAGTTAAGAATATTCTGTACAATGAACTTGGCATAATGAAGGTTTCTACTCAGTGGGTTCCACATCTGATGCCAGATCAAAAGCTCATGCACAGGGAAAATCTGACATTGTTTGAAGTAGATCCAGCTGGTTTCTTTGAATGTTTCCTTAACCCAGGATGAGATTTCGGTTCATTACTTTGAGCCAGAGACAGACAATCCATGCAGTGGAAACACCTCTCCTCCCCTGCTCCAAAAAAGGCCATGGTTATTTCATCTGCAAGAAAGGTAATGGCCTTAGTTTTTTGGGATGCAAAAAGCATTGGTGTTTATTGACTATCTTCAAAAGGGCCAAACCATCAATGGAGAGTACTATGCCAACTGCTTTAGGCAGTTATCAAAGACCAAATGTCCAGGAAAATTGCCAAAAGTGGTCCTGTTTCATTAAGACAAAGCACCAACACAGAAGTCCTTGGTTTCAATGGCTGTTGTGTGTGATTGTGCCTTTGAACTGGTTGATCCTCCTCCTCCTCCCTATTCTCTTGATTTGACTATCATCTGTTCCCCAACATAAAAACCACTTAGCTTGTATCACAGTGGTGATGATGTCATATCTGCTGTTGACAACTTTTTTGGTCAATAGGATGAACAGTCTTTTTTGAACAGTCAGATGTCAGTTTATCTGGAAAGCAACAATGCAGTTATTAATAAGAAGAATTGAAATTAATGGATGCAAGATTTCACATTTGGAATCACTCCTTCATAGTCAGCCTATGAATTTTTCAGCCCACCCTTGTGAATATATGAATTGTAAATATCTATGTGCAATGCTCTGGCTGCTTTGATATCAAAAATGTTCAAGTATATTCCAAAGACTTATTGCTAAAAAAGAAAAAAGTTCTACTGCAATGTGGTGCAAATATCTGACGAGACAAAAGTTCACAGGTGATTACCTTGAAAAATGTTTAGTCTTCACACCAGGATAAATCTCTGAAAACTGGAAATATTCTTCCCAGCCAAACAGTTCTACCAATTTTCTGCCATCTTCAATAGCACCAGTTCTGAAAAATATTTTTTCAAAGTACATATTCAGTAATAAAACTAGTTGAACTTTTCCACATACATGATAATAGCTGGCCACTCATATTTGAGGATACTCGTCTACTAGGGCTGCTAGCCAATCCCTATTGCAGACGCTCACTCAGGCATATCTGTGTTTACTCAAGACCCACAGAGCCCAGCTGTGGTTTATACTGAGCAGACCTTAGTTACAGTTTCTGGGAGAAAGTGTGTTCTCTGGTGTGATCAACAATTTGAACAAGGCCAGTATGCTCAAACCTTTGATCATGATGATTTGTGGCTTCGTGCTATCACAGTTATCAACAGCCCACAAGATTTCTGTTTATTTACAAGGCTTGGTTTTTAGGCATTTTCCAAAGGTGCCACATGCTGTGATCGACATCAATCTAGTCCAATGACATGAATTATCAGTCATCTTCCTGACAAATTGACCATGGTGAGATTCGAACCAGGGTCTCATGGTCAGAAAATGAACATTCCAACCACTCAGCCACATGCCCATACATACACACATGCATACATACTCAAATGCATGACTCACACATATACATACATAAATATATTTTTTCAAAATACGTATTCAGAAATAATAACTGGTTAAACTATTCCACATGCATGCATACACATACATATACACATACATATATACATAATAATGGTTGTTTACTTGTTCCCAAGTATGCTCATTTGACAGAGTGGCTTGATAATCCCTGTTACAGATGTCTGCTCAGGCACATTTATGGTTGTTCACTATTCATACAGCCAACCTGTAGTTTATACTGCAACTATGCTGAGCAGATCTTAGTTCCAGTTTCTAGGAGAGTATACATAATCTGGCAAGATGATCAGCTTGAACCCTCTGTTGCAATGACTTGTAACTTTGTGCTAGCATAACGATCAACAGCTTTCAGTTTTTTTCAACCTAATTTCACTCACAAGGCTTGAGTTAACCTGTGGCCTGGTTTTCTGGCACTTCCCAACACTGAAGCATGCTGGGATTGTCTTTCCACCTCCTTGACAAATCAAGCATCTTGAGATTCAAAACGAAGTCTCATTGAACAATAAGTATTGGACACCAAACATTTGACGACAAACTTTCATAAAAGGTTCAATAAAAATAGGTCAAATAAGCCACAAAGCCAAATGGAAAGCAGAGAAAATAATTCTAGGTTATTTGCTAAGTGACAAATCAAAACTAGTTTTCCAAAAAAGGAAAATTATTTTAGTCATTATTCTCTTGGGACTTGGAGAAGAATTAAAGAAAAACAGTGTCAATGACTTACCGGGAAGCAATACCAAGTTTGTATCCATCATTTTGAAGCTTTTTTAGCACATCAGGAACTTCTGGATAATGTTTAACTTCAGCTCCTCGAAAATCATATACTTTGCCATTACTTCAAGAATAAAAAAAATACCATCAAATCAAGTTGTTTTGTGACTTCAAAAAGATTTTTTTAAATATATCTTATTATAATTGTGCTTGTTTCTTCTTTAGTTAGTTAGTTAGTGTCATGGGTCCTTACCTATAACTACCGAATGAACTCTTCCTCACACTATCTATACTACGCCTTTAAAGAGAGAGGGTTGAATCGAGTCGAACCGATAGCACTTCACACCAAACCAGACTGACAGTCATACTAACACCTTCCACATCTTGTATTATTATTTTGAGTAATATATCTTCGTTATTTCTACTCTTGTCCGAAACTGGAACATAACAGTTAGTCTGTCAGTTACACTCTTCAGTACTGATCTGTATTCAGCGTCTCACTGGCAGCAATTTTCAAAGAAACACCTTCACCCACTCCAAAGTGGCAATGGAGGATGCTTATAACAGTCTATTTTTATCAATTTGTTTATCCATGTTTTGTATATATTTATATATATATTATCTTGTATTTCTTTTGTGTATGTACCTCCACTTTTATATATAGGCACCTCCACTTTTTCACCAAAAAACAGCATAGCATGATGAAAAAGGCCCAGATTTAATAAAAACAAATTTTTATTGTCAAAATGTTTATTAAGAGGAGAGACTAAAGTATTTTTTGATTATTTTATTAAATTTTAATTCTTCAATGCATTATTTTTATACATACATATTGTTGCAGATTGGCGAATGTATTTTGCGTATCAGGTTAGGTTATCAGAAGGCTTAGAAGTGTAGGTGTTCACAAGACATTCATTCATAACAAATATAAAAATAAGAACAGTGAAAGGTAAAATCATTCAGGAGGAATCAAAAATGAGGACAACATGATTAAAGGTTTAACAAATAACATTCATTTTATATCAATTGAACATACACAATCAAGATAGATATTGCTGATCAAATGCGACCAGTTGTAATAAAATATGTAGAAGGATTATGCTGAGTTCCAATGTGTGTAGGCTTGTGGTTAGGATTTGTGTATGAAATTAAACAAGATGTTTTATCGTATTACAAAATGTCTTTTGTGGGAGTTCAGTCACTAGTGTATATGTGTGCATTTGTTAAAGTTACTGTTCAAAGTTTGTAAGAGTTGTGTACCTTTAGCTGTTGTCTTGATGTTGGATTGAGATCTACAATATATGTAGAAAATGCTTATTGTTTAATCAATATTTTATCACTTGGTCTGTGGAAATTCCACAGGTCCTGCTAGTATATAATTAATATAAGTAAAAACTTTGTCACTTAGCTGATTGATTGATGCTTGTCAGTGACTATCAGCAATTGAGTGCTTGTACTTCTCGATTTTTCTTTTTTATATGCACTTATCATTGGTACAAGTTTTTTTTCTGTAGTGCATGTGCACTTGTCTGTACAGATGTGCATACATGTAGAGTGTTGTGATTATTTGTCGTTTTTCTTCTTATTTTTTTCCTCCATTTTACATTCATTCCTGAGCCTTTTATATATACAGGGTGTATCAAAAATACTTTTACAAACTTTGGGGTTGGGTTCCTCACACCATCGTTGGAACCTCAACACAGCAACTGTTTAAAATGTCCTCCCCTTGCTTCTGCACATGCCTGCACCTATTGGATTATTGACTGATGGACCCTTTCAAATTCTCCCACACAGTGTTGAATGGTTTCACAGGCCTCCATGACACATTGATAAAGCATCACTGCATTGTTAATGCCTGCTGCATAAAACCAACTTTTTTAGATGGCCTCACAGACAAAAATCCAAAGGGTTGAGGCTGGAAGAACAATGAAGCCATCTTGCCAGTCCTCCCCTACCTATCCATCTTTCACTGTAGATGTCAGTTAGTGCATCACGAACAATGTGACTAAAATGTGTATTAGCAGGGGTACATCTTCTAGCAGGTCTGGAAGTGTGTTTGAAATAAAGTCTCTGTAGATGGCCGGCTTCTGTAAGACATGCTGGGAGAACATATAGACCTACCAGACAGTCACCTACAATTCCAACCTACACGTTAATTGCTGGTGTCTAACCTTTTCTTTACCATGGGGATTCCGATCTGCCCACAAATGTTGGTTGTGTAAATTTGTTATTCCATCTCTTCCAAATGTTGCCTCATCTGAAGAGATAAATATCAGATTGGCAGTTTGTGCAATAAACCATTGGCAAAAGTTCTCCTGTGGTCAGTGAATAGAGGACAAAAGAGCCTGTACAGACTGCAAATGTTACAGATAAAGGAGCTGCTCTTGAAGTACCCATCATGTAGTACTATGAGATGTACGACATGCTAGAGCCACTTGATGTATGCTGATATCTGGATCATTTCTGATACCCTGTATAATGTGTTCTTCATGGTCCAGTGTACAAGTTGATCATGGTCTTCCATAGTTTGTGGTGCCACAGATCCTGTCTCAGAAACATGATGATAAACAGCTGTAAAGGTTGGATGACTCAGCTGCTTTCAGTCTGGAAACGCAATCTGATACAGCCATGCAGCTTCACGTCCATTACCATTCACCCGGCCATATGCAAAAATCATACCCACCTGCTCATGATATATCCTACCATTGTTGAACAGTTAACTCACTACTACACACATTAAATGTTAAAGACAAACTAGCCACAAATGTACACAAATGACAAATGTAACCTCATCTACATGGCAACACAGTGCCATCTACTGTAAACTCTATTTAAACTTAATAACTCAAAAATGAAGGATTTGCAGATATATGTTTATATAGACTTTTGTCCTTGTTTTGGTGTGAGGAACCAGACCCCAAAGTTTGTAAAAGTATTTTTGATACGCCCTGTATCAGTCTGTATATATTAAAATGTTAAGCATGATTGTAGACAGTTCATAATCTTTTTGGAATCTCTACTTATGCTAAATCTTCCATAATGTGGGTTTACTCATGCCAAATACCAATCTGACAGTTATACCTTCACAATATAGTTTCTGTATTGGAGATTGTCCTTCTTTTGGCCAGACTGCCTTTTACAAAAAGCTAAGAAACTCTGTCTAATCTATGCAGACAATAAACAAACAAAAATTGTGATTGATTTTAGTAATTCTATATTTATTCACAAGATATTCAGAACATGATGACTTTTGATGTTCGTTTGTTGGGATACAATCATACAAATTTCTTAAATGAACAACAGACTGCAAAAGTATTAGATAACCCTGACATTTGATAAACCTGATTTTTCATGATCAACATTTGATAGACATATTGAGAATGCATAGAACTGTGAGCATCAAAAAGAAGAGCATCCTACTTTTTAACAAGAGATAAATAAATGCTAAATCCTATCACAACAATCTTAATTTCTGGATTGAGGAGTTATCATTATTTACATTTGAACTCATGTCCTCTTCTTTGCAGTTATTATCACATTTTAGCCATTATGTCCTCCAGGCTTCTTCAGATGTCAGTCAATGTAGGTAACTTTCAGGGAATTTAAAATTGATCCCTTTAATCCCACGGGAGAATAGATTAGAAGTTTAAAGTGTTTATATATGAATTTGGTAACATAGTAATTGTGAATTCAATCCCTTGTCTGGGTAATACAGACTCTGAGGAAACAAGACTAGAAATTACTGAACAATCCTAAAAAAGATGATGAGATATCCTTAGACACATGGGCAACAAAATAAAATCAGTTTACCATTCATAGATTAAATAAAGGGTGAATTTTGAAGTTCCCTGAAGGTTACCCAGATCGACAAATACCTGAAGAAGGTCAGAGGACACAACAGTCAAAATGTTATGAAAATAACAAGAGATGAGGACATTAGTTCAAATATAAATAATCAATTTGTTTTGAATTTGCAGTGACTATCACACATTTGGCAATTGTGATACAAACAAAAAAAAAATGGAGAAAAATGAATTGTTCACTAAATTTGATCTATTTTATATTATGTCCAGCAAGACAAAAGGAAAAACTTATGTTAGCCGACATGTTTCATTCCCTGAGGGACTTTATCAAGACAAAGGTAAAGATTTTATTTTATGACAATTATTTATATACAAGAGCAAAAATGTTAGCTTTTTAAAACTTTTTGGTATAGGGGGTGCTCATGAATATTCATCAGGTTAATGGAAAAGTCAGGCAAGTTCATGGATGTGAGGTGATACAGTTCAATACCTTTATATCATGTGCAGAAAGATTAAAAATGCCCTCTAACTTTGAGGATATGATTTTCATTTTTTTTTTTTTTTTTTTTTTAATTTTAGTTAGCTACAGGTATTTATAAGCAAAAACTGAAAACAAATATATTCAAACATATTTACAAGTAATTCTAATCTCTGTTTAAAATACAAAATATATATATATTTTAAAATTTTATATAAAATTTGAGAAAAAATTTTGAGTAAGTTATCTTGCAATTATGTTGAAGTTGTAGAAAAAAATTAACATGTGTATCTGGGAATGTTCTGATATTTTCCTCATATAAATTAATGATAATTGCATCTTCACTTTAAGCCATTTTGGCAAGTAAAATATTTCATGGCAAAGATCAAAATCATTAATGCTTGCTAACTGCTTCTTAAAAATTTTTTGGAATGGCAAAACATGTCATTGGAATGTTCTGCTTTTTGAGAAACAAGTAAAAACCTGTAAACATTTCCTAATGTGAATAATTATTTATCAATACTTATGTATAACATTTAAGAACCATAAAAAGCATTTGTTTTATATATGAGTTTAGTGTTTTATTGTTCAAATAGAATTAATACTTTACCCCTTGAGTGTAAATGGAGGATCAACATGGGTGTCCACCCAGAATGGCCAAAGGGTGTAATCTGTAAAATATCAAAGGGTGTAAAACTCAAAAAATAATGTCTTTTTTAGAAAAGGTGCTTGTGTAGCAATATGATTTCTCACACAACCTCTTTTTTAAAATTTTTTTCTCCTCTTTTAAGTCAATTTAATGACTAAGGTTTCTCAAGAATCTTGTCTCTTGTGACTGCTTGAGCTGAAGGGAGGGGCTGCTAACCATCATCTGGTATAATTATGACTGTCCAGATTTTATCCATCTTTGGGTTGAATTACTTTCAGAGGTGATTGGGGGTTTATCTGCATATTTTTTTATGAAACTATGTCAAGTTCTATGTTTTGAGCTGCATATGAAATATTGTGATTGTACTTATTAACTTTGTTTTAATTATTTTAATTTTTTTTTATTGATTGTTGTGTTCCTGGACCTTACGATATTTTTTTTGTATTCTTTTTTTTTCATATTGCTTTCTGTAGTTTTGTTGTAATTTACATAATAAATGATAAAATTTGGTTGGATAGAAGTGTAGCAATACAGTTTCTCACACATCCTTCAATAGATTCTTTTTCTTTTTAAGTCAATTTAATGACCAGGACTTTTCAGGAATTCTGTCTCCAGCCCACTGTTGAATTGACAAACATAATATTGTGTTAGATAGCTGTAAAAAAATAGGGTCCTTTCAAAAAAACTGACCATGCAAAATCTATCTGGGTGCTTCTTCTTTCCAGTTGGTGGGACACAAATGGACTGGAAGGAGTGGTAAGTCCACCAGCCAGTATCCATATAACGAATCAGATGGTGAGTGAAGATGCAGTCAGTGAAACAGACAGGCAGTAAGTGTTTTGGGGTTCGTTTTCCATGGCTGAAACTTAGTGAGAAATCAGATGAAAAGTTTGCTTTCTCGTAGCAGAAGGAAAGCATTACCAATTAAGTGAGAAATTATTTATACCATTTACATTCTTTGGACTTGTCCTCATCTTTATTGCCATATTAACATTTTGACTGTTGTACAAACCAAACCCTTTATTTTGTTCACAGGGGTCAATTGTTCTAGTTCCACATATCTCAGCTCTTCAAGTTTTTTGTTCACCTATGCTGTAACCAGGTATTGAACTCACAACTCTTTGGGTTTACTCACTGAATTGAACCAATGCTTGGTTGGATCTAGGACAATCTACCCCAGTAGATGAAATAAAGGGTTCGGTTTGAAATTCCAATCATCTGAAGAAGGTTGAAACGTTGTGAATATGGCAACAAATATGAAGACAACAGTCAAAACAGTGTAAATAGCATAAATAATTACAATACTTCATTTCAGAAATAGAGACAGATCCTGAAGAAGGCAGGAGCGTATGAGGGCCAAAATGTCATGAATATGGCAATAAAGATGGGGGACAACAGTCTGAACAAAGTAAATAACAAATAATTACAATCCCTCATCTCAGAAATAGAGACAGATAAGTGAGAAATCATATTTTCTTTAGCTATATCTCAATACAAATGTCTGGAAACTCAAAGAGTTGTGAGTTCAATACCTGGTTACAGCAAAGGTGAACAAAAAACTTGAAGAGCTGAGATATCTGGAATAGACATGGTGTGTGGAACTAGAACAATTGACCCCCGTGAACAAAATAAAGGGTTTGGTTCGTACAACAGTCATAGGCATTTGTTGCTATTTATTGTTGCTATTTATTGACACTTGACAATGATTACAGCCACAATCAACATGAATTTATGGAACATAGTAAACACCGGTGTATTCGCATACAGCTGACCTTGGATGTCATCACACTTTTATAATAAAACATTTTCTTTCAGATTGGACAGAAAAACAATCTACACTTTGTTATATTCCATGCTAAGGGAATAAACACACAACACAAGGTGGATACTAGAAGAAAGGTTTATTGTACACATCAAGTACAATATGAAATACGGTACAGTTATACACACAGGTCAATCTAGTAGTGAGTGCCACTAATTAGAAGGTCGGACATGCTTGCGTCGTATCGCTCTCTGTCCTCGAGTCTCTCATAGACAGTTGACTTTATAGGTACTTACTACCTATAGTGTAATCATTCATGGGGGTGACTGGTTATTCCATTACATTACACTCAAAAACATTTCTTGTAATTTTTCATTGTGATTTTGAAATTCATTCCCGTTTCTGTTCATCACAAAACTTTTATTAAATACAGACATGATTCAAAAGATGTTAAGTTTAATGTTATTTTCAAGTGTGAACATTTTTTTTTAAGGAATTTTAATGTTTTTTTTTCCCATTTTAGCAACTGTTATATTATTTTTTTTGTATGGATGTTCAAAAACGAAATAATTCTGAATTACTGCGTTTAACTACTTTTTCCTATTGGAAGAGGATCCAATAACTCAAATTCAGAATAATTAAAAAAGATCACATTTGCAATTAATTTACATCAAACAGGTAAGAAAATGATCAAGGCAATGTATTGTAAACTATTATTATCATTTAACTAAGAAAAACAAACAAACAATTTCTAATGTAGGATATAAAAGAAAATAATTCTACAAAGTTTCATAAAATCATATAGAATAAAAAATATATTTTTAAACTATTGGTTATTAAAGATAATTTATTTTTAAACATAAATACCAATTTATTGATTACTACATTGCTGGTGTTTCTTATTTCGTTTATTTTTTTCATACACTAAATCCCCCCCCCCCCGCCCAAGCAAAGCGATAATGCCACTAAGATGCAAGGTAAGAGTTACACTGGAAGTGAAAGAGAAGAGAAAGACATAAGGAATCAGAAACACCAGTAGAAAATTCAGAACTTAGGTGTGAAGACGTTAAAACTTTAGAAGGAACCAGAAACCCAATAAACACTAAACAGGAAACAAAGCATGTACTTCTACTCCTGTTCAAAAGACCCGGAGCGGCGGGCTATGTGAAAGGTTACTTTCATATTTTTAAGCAAAACGTAAGCATTACATTTTTACAAAATCTTTAATGACTTTGAAACATATTTCTAGGAAAATATTGGATATTTTTTTCATCTGAAAATGAATAAATATTTATTTGAATTGAACAAAGTATCTATAAACAAAATATTGCTATCCTCTGCTAGCCGCAATGATAGAGAAAGCATTGCCTTGTATCATCACCAATGAGGGCCACTAGCCCCAGAAGTTTCCACTGCCACAGGAGTAAAAAAAAAAAAAACAAAAAAAAAAAAACAAAGAACAAAAAAAAAAAAAAAATGTCCACAAGAGAAGAATTATTTTTTTTTATCTCCACGTCCCGAGCAACAAACTCCGGCACAACCGCAGAACTGATCAAATTACTGGTTGAAAATGTATCGGCACAGGTCGCATCCCAACAACAACTTCCCATTTTAAAAGGGCCACTTTCGGGTCGAGGCCTACGGGTTCGATTTGGGAAGAGAGCCCAGCTGTACGCAGACTTCTTCTGATGATGTTGTTTATTATTGCTGCATGTCTTCGAAACCGGCCGGCACTACGACGACAGGAAGGATGATGCAAACGCAAACCAAACTCATCAATGGAAGCTCCACATCTGCATCTGTGACGCTCATAATTTTTGAGCCCAAGGATCGCGACTCCGACCCGAGTGCACTCATCATCCAGAAGGGAGCCAGTAGATCAAGAGGACACTAAATTATTATTGGATTTATATAAATTATAAATTAAATTGGATTCTTATTTTTAAGAGACGCTTCGGCTTAATTTTTTTTTTTTAAATGCCTAAAAACTTTATATGTAAATAATGAACTTTATATTCGGAAAACGTTTCTGAGAAATATGTTTTTTTTGTCTCTTGAACGAAAAAGCGTCATAAATTACTCATTTTTTTTTTTTCGCTTTTGTTTTTGGTTTCCACGGCAGTTAATTCAGGTTCTTAGGGTCTGAAGTTGGGCATGGATGTAACTAAAACGGTAAAACCCAATTAATTTCCGACGGTTCTGAAGATCAGATTCGTTCAACAAATACAAAAAAAAACTATCAAATTTCTTTTCAAATACCATAGGAAAAAAAAAAACAAAAAAAAACACAAATTTCACTTCTATGGAGACAGGTATAAATAGATAAATAAATAGTTAAAAAAAAAAAAATACCAGACATTTAAATTATTTAAAATGCGCTTTTCGTTTTTTTTAGGAAGTCTACGGTGACCCAAATCAATACAATCAGGTTTAGTTTTAAAACGCAATTAGACAGAAAAACAGAAAGATGAACGAAAGGTTACCTTTTACTTATGGGTAGTCTGATGAATACGTCAAAGTTTGTTTAAAAAAAACACACACACACACACACACACACAAAGATTATGTTAAATATACCTAAATCAAATACGATCAATTTCGGTTTGATTTCTTCTGCCATCGTGTTTTCAGCACCAGGGATTGTACAGTATTCGGAGTTGGGCCCCGAATCTAAACTTTCGACACGAAAATATTCAGCACTCAACAAAAATGCGTTAAGATAAAAAAAGTAACATAGAGTTATCTGCCCCTCGTTGTAAATTCTCGGAAAGAATTTAGTTGCTCGATATTCTAGGCCCATCTTGTTTTGTTTGTTTGTGTTTTTTTTTTAGATAAATGAGGTTGATACACAAATAATTATTAATTATGCAACTGACTGATTTCGGCCTTTAAATTAAATCGATAATTGTTTTGCAAAGTGAAGTATAACGCGTGCATATGAACCATTTACAAAATGTTATTACGTCAATTCAACCGGTGTTGCATTAAAATATTTGCCCGTATAAAATTATTATACGAAAAAAGATCCCCCCTCCCCACCAAAAAAAAAACAAAACAAACTTTGGTTCGAACGGGTATCAAAGTGAATTTAATTAATCAAAATTTCAAAAACAATTATTAGCGTGAAACGTAAAAAAATATATTTTTTAATTTTATTTTCAGTGTACATTTAACATGTCTTCCGCTAATTTCGTGATTAACAGAAACTAAATAAAAAAATGAATAAAAATAACAAAGTCTGAAAAAAATTTACAATAATTTCTATAAAATTAACTTATATAGAAAGAAACGGAACAAGACGAAAAAAGACATTTTGAAATTTTGCCACCGAAGCGAAAACACGTGGTTGTCTGTCATTTTCATTTTCTTATCTTTTTTTAAAGAAGAGTTCCTCAACTTCGAACGGCGGTAAAAAAGAAATCATGTCTGATGACGAAGATGTGAAAAAAGTTTTAGCACCGCAGAAAAAAATCCGTGTTCGATTTGTTGGTGATGATGATATCGTTCAACATATTTTACACATCAAGGAGAAAAAAAGAGGTTAGTGAATGCAAAGATATTTGCTTTTTATGAAAAGGAAAAAAAATGGAGTTTAGAGAATTGAAGATGCCAAACTCGTGTTGTCCTATTGTTGCTGTTGGAAAGAAAACTTATTTCTAATTCTATATTTTTTAAAAGTTCAACAACTTCATTATTCGGACTTTAAACTCTTCATGAAAACTTTTAACTTCTTCCCAAACTTTTTGTATTTTTTTTTTTTTACCATAAAGAAAATTACTACAAGGCAAACAAAACACTTTAACATCATAAATACAAAACAAAAAAATAATAAATTTACTTGGGGTGGTTAATTAATCCGTCGTCAATCCCAGGTGTACCTGATTACCTGATCGTGATTTGATTATTTTCTTCCTAGATTGCATTTTTTTTTCTACCTAGCTGTCTTTTTTTGTTCCTAACTTTTTGTCAATACACACACACAAAAAAAAAAAATCAATTTGTTTTTGTCTTGACAAAAAAGTCCAATACATTGACGCTTTTTTTCATTCTTCATTGGAGCATAACTTCCTTTTTGTTTTTTGTTTTTTTATGCACCTATCCAAAATTCACCATATTAGTAAATCACAGGTGTACTAAATGAAATTAATTTTAGTCCTGAGGGAAATCTATACAAAAATCGTTCACATCATTGTCTTTTTCTTAACAATATTTTTAAAACATTTTTTGTCTTAAACATGCATATAGTTCTTTCAAATTTATGTTCATGATCCGTGAGATGTTGACACCCTGTTGGCTGGGGCTGTAGAATACACCGACTGCACCTCTGCAGAGGGGTAGGACCCTTCCCCCATTGGTCGTCCTGGGTATGACGATAAACTACGCCCGACAGCAAGGCCTCTGATAAGGAGCTTTTGAAGAGCGTGGAACCAGCTCTTAATTGCTGGTGTTCCCAGGTCCACCCTGACCTGGGGTGGTAGCACCTGTTAGGGTCCCAGCTATGGGCAAATAGTTAACCCCGAAACTGCGGTAAAAAAGCATTATAAAAGTGTAAAAATAGGTTTTAATACCAGAAATACTTTGAAAAAAATTATTACCATAAATTAATTTTTGAAAGAAAAAAAAAACTATTACCAGCAATACGTTTTTGAAAAAAAAATATTACCAGCAATACATGTGATTGTACTCAAAAATATGAGTAACTGAAAAATGGTTCAAATATATATGTATACACACACACACACCTTTTTTTACCAAACTATCACTATAGATCTATTTATAAAATTTTGTTGACATTAAATGACCCACTGGGCTCGATATGCCATAAAACAAAACAACAACCAAACAACCATGAGATGTTGTTTACCCAAAAATGAATCAAATGTTTTCTTTTGTGATTAATGATGATTTACAGTTTACATTTATTTGTTGGATATCAATGTTAAATGTTGTTGTTATTCTTTCTTTATACTCTTACTCCTCATGACCAAACTATTAAGAAAAATATGTTTATTGTTTATACTTTTATCTTCATGAATTCAGTGAATAATTGCGTCTTTAACTACTTGAGAAACTAAAATATATTTAAATAACTTTTATTCAAGATATTCCTCTTTTACACTGTACAACAACAACAACTGTCATAGTTGATGTTAATCTTCAATGTTTATTCTTTATTTTTTTACATTAACAACTATAAAAAAACGTTAATGTATGTGAATTCATAATATTTTAATATTTAAAAGAAAACTTTGTAGAATGTGAGTTTACCCCACTTGTCTGCCAAGGGTCTTCTGCTGACTACTAAATGGTATTGCCAAAAAGTGGTATGAAAGAGAAGGGTACAAACTCTCTTATCTTATCTTTACCTACAAGAGGCCATAGAAACAATCTATATCTCTAAAGCCAACTCTATAGTTAAGGTACATCAGGACAACCTTCAAAAGCAAGATGACATTTTGCAGATAACTCTCCCGAGTAAGATGCCCGATAGAGTATAACATGACTAAAGACTGTGTACTCTATCCCGTGCAGCTGCGGAAAGAAATATAAAGGGGAGACAGGCTGCCCCCTTAAGGTAAGTCTTCAAGAACACCAGAAAGCTGTAACACGAGGAAAGGTGGAAAAATCAGGCATGGCTGACCACATATGTGGAGAGAAGGGAGATCACTACCCTCTGTGGGATCAAGTTGAGATCATAGACAAAGAACACCATTGGAAAACTCATAAACTTAAGGAATCAGTACATATGCTAGGCCACAAATTCTCCTGAGCCGACCAAACGTAGAAATGAATGCAATATGGGAACCAGTAATAAGGAGTGCCAGAGAAAAGCGATAACAACAACAAAAATTGCAATATGAGCACTGGTAAAAAAATGTTGGCTGAAGACATTAGGTTTATAATACCCAGAAATTCATATACAGATGTCCTCAAGGACACATGGCACAGTGGGTAAATGCGTTAATTAGATCCAGTGATAGGACGCAAAGTGTGTGTGTTCAATATCTGGCTAAGGCGGTGGGAATTAACAGGAGATAAGTGATATCCATTAGATATGAAATAAAGGGATCAGTTCAACATTCTAACTACCTGAAGAAGGCCGGAGTCATGAATTCATTTCTCTCCACTCCATCTATGAGTTAAATAATAATAGAATGTAAGGCAGTTCATTTTGCACATTAGGTTTTCAAATAGAACATGTATATACGATCCATCACTAAAGATGCTGGAAAGCATCTCCAGAAAGTATTTGACTCCTCCTATCTTTACAAGATCAGACCAAAAATGGAGTATTGGTACCATATCTAGGGTTGCAGCTACCCAGTGGTTATTTTCCAGCCTTGACAGAGTTCAAAAGCATCTACGTGGCCTATAATCCCTTTTTCCCCCACAGATGAAATGTCAATCCTATCACTGCTTTCATGGTAGATGTTTAGATGAGCATTCCATTCTTTAGTTTCGATAGTTCAGACCTTCACATCCAGAGTATCACCATACCACATACAGTGTCAGCTCTTACCCTTATTCTCTTTGTATTTCTTTTTGGTAGAAGCAGAAATTCTATTCAACTTCTTTCCCAGAATTGTGACCTTCTGTAACTGACACCCGAGTGGATGCTTCCCCAATCACTTAGCCTCATCAAGTCAGTTATAAACTGTTCTCTATCCTAGATATATTCAAAATGCACTTTTACTTCCTCCTTTTTCACCTATCATGACAAATTCATTCAATAACCACCTTTGATTTTGTGTGGTATATTTGAACCACCTGTCCAAGTGGTTAAAATGTTCGCTTTCTGACCAAAAGACCTGGTTTGGAATCTTATCATGGTTTATTTGTCTGGATGATGACTTCTTGGTGCTCATCAGTCTGGGGGAGGCGATCCCAGTGCGCAGCAACTTTGGGAAGTGACTGAAAACCATAATATGGGTTGATGCAAGCCTTGTGAGTGAGTTTGGGTGGATGGAACTATCTAGGAGAATCATTGTCATCGTGACCGAAGATTTGCCTTGTTCAGACTGTTGGTCATGCCAGATAATGTGCTCTCTCCCAAGGTCCACTCAGCATAGTTGCAGTATATACCACAAGTGGGCTCTGTGGGTGTTGAACAAACACAAACGTGCCTGAGCAAGTGTCTGCAACAGGGATTGGCTAGTTGTCCTGGAAGATGGGTGGTCAGCCATTACTTATTATTTTGAATGGTTTTAGGCTTTCCATTTTTTTAATTTTTTTTTTATCATTTCACCCCATGCAAGGCATTAAATCCACTGTGACGCAAGAAGTTATTAAGTGTTAGAGAATATTGTGGAAATAATAGTAAATATACAAAAAAGAAAAAGCTTCTGAAACCACAGCAGTGCCAATTGATTTTTGTCCTACAATCCTCAGTGATAAAACCTGTTTCATTTGGGAGGGTTTCGGGATTGGGGCTTACACAGGTGTTTTATTTAATCAATGTATGTACACAGATTGTTTTCTTTTCTTTTTTTTTTTTTTATTTAAGCTTAGAAAATTATCAAAATGATGAAAACTAAATCACCCATTCATTCACAGGTCCCATTAAAAAAAAAAAACTTCAATGTTCTTGTTTTCTCCAACTATAAATTCGGTTAAATGTTTTGCTTGCCTCGAATCTAACTACAATTTTATCATTTCTTCAGGAAAGAAATCTTTGGTTTCATATGGTACCAAAAAGAGTCGAACAGCCATTATCAATGACCAAGAAGTTGTGCTGGGCAGTAGTGATGAGGAAGAAGACAGTTATCGCCTTTCGGAAGGTCAGTATGTTTTTTAATGTGTAAAATCAAGATAACTAATTCACATTGTTTGAATTTTTATTAATATAGAAAATGACTTTTTTTTTTCTTTTTTTTTTTTCTTTTACCACAATCAAGGCAATAAAGCCTCTAAGAGGCATGGAGTTACTGAGTGTTAGAGAATATGAGAAAAATATACTATTTAGGAGCAAAGACAATAAAAGAAACAAAAATTAAGAAGACAAAGTCAGGTGGAAAGCAAGAAACCAGAAGAGTGTTCCAAAAGCAAGAAGTGTAGAAACTGTTAGCATAGAACTTACGGTTATATCTAGCTGCCATTTCAGCTGTAAAATGATGAAACCTTGATGTTAATCTCATTCAGGACTTAATTTCATAAAGTCTAGGTAGCAAAGAGAATAGTTCATCAAGACAATTACCATGAAAATATAGAAATGGCACTGGGGGCGAGATTACATTACGGTGGTGGAAGAGTGACTGAAGTTGAAATCGGGACCAATAACTCTTATTGCAGATTCTTATTTGGATTTTAACTAGAATTTCTAAATACAGAGCCAGACTAGATGTGGCAGCAATATTCAAAGCATGGATGAATGGTAGACTTATTAATATGTAAAGTTCATCCTGGTAAAAACATGCTTTTTTTTTCTATTTTTTTTTTTTTTTTTAAATGGATTAATAATTTCTGAATAAGTCTAAAGTTTTTTAACTTTAGGTTCTTTCCTTGTTCCACTTAGTTGCAAAGAAACTGAAAATGGCTTTAGAACTGCACTAAAATTTTTCCAATAGAAATTCAGAAACTCAGTTTCTTTTTTGTTTTTCTTCCAGATTCCTCAAAATAATTCTAAAGAGACTTTGCCAAATTATTAAAGTTTGTCTGATTTCTCTTATTAACGTTCAGATTTCTTTTTTAACCGCATCTTACTTATTATAAAACGCAGATTGTGTGTGTGTGTGTGTCTGTACATTTATATATTGGATTGGATTTCCTACATTTTTCAACCGATTTCAACAAAACTTCACAGGACTGTGTAAAATTACATTGCGGTGGTTCTGACAGCGCCAAAAATTGGAAAAACTCAGTTGTTTTTGCATTAAATCAATTTTAAAACACGATTCTATCGCCAGAATGAAAGGGGGACAACTCATATCGAGTTTTACTTATTATAAAACGCAGGTTGTTTGTGTGTGTGTGTGTGTTTGTTTATATATGGGATCGGATTTCCTACATTTTTCAACCGATTTCAACAAAACTTCACTTTTTTTTTTTTTTGGCAGGTAGTGTTTCTTATTGTCTTGCACACTTTTCTCTTTATTTTTACATTCAGAATGCTTTAAAAATTCCATTTACAAAACAATTGTTTATAATAAAATTCTATTCAATCGATAGACTCATAACATTGAAAACAATGTTTTTGTTTGAGTTTGACCAATTCGTAAAAAAAAACAAAAAAAAAAAACTAATTAAGACATCCGTGTCTGTCAACCTTAAACAATAATCTTTGTCAATTTTATTTTTCAGTTTTTATGATGGTCGATACTTGATCTATCTCTTACTGTTACATCCCCGGGCAACGCCGGGCTCTACTGCTAGTTAGTCATATGGGGTGCTTTGTTACTCCATTTTTAAAGTACTTGTAATTGCTAGTAGGCAACTTGTTTCTTTTGCTCCCTCCTGCTACGCTCCTGACTCAGTGAGGGTGGGTAGCATGGGATGTGATGCACTTGTAGGTCAATTGTAATGAGAGGCAGATGTCCCTGTCTTTTTCAAGGTGTCCTGTCATTCCACCTGACTAACGATGATTAGTTTTTGTGATGTATATTTTTTTTATATATTATATATATGCATTAAATAAATACTAGTGTACCTGTGCCATCAAAATTGATGGCAAGAGGAATGTATTATATTGTAATAATTTCCATTTAATCCAAGTACAATTTTGTAATTTAAAATACTTTGTTAACATTAATAATTTAACAGTGTACAATTTATAAACATCCAAGGAAAGATATCCATATATATAGGAATAATTATTATTCCCGTTCATTTTTTACTTTTTAATTCTGCTGATAATTTAAAAATTTTTTTTTTTTTTTTGTGTGTGTGTAATTATTTTAAATTTTTATTATTCATTCATTATTGCAGATTTTAAAAACAAGACTTAATATCTATTCTTTTTTACTTTACAAAAACAAATTTCAAACAAAATATCTTCAATTAGTCCAGGCTGGGTCGACACAAGAGTCTCCACCCCAACTCGAAAGTATATGGAAAAATAATTTATTTATGTTATGGAAAATAATTTTTTATTCAAGCTTTTAAAAAAAATGAACATCATTATTTTTTTTTTTTTTTCGTTTGTTACTTACATAAAAAAGCAAATAATTTTAAATTACAACAAAAACCATAGCAAGCCTTATTTTTTTGAAAATGAATTTAAGAAATTAAATGAATTTAAATAAAATACAGTTAAATTTGTAAAACAAATATTCAACACAACTTCATAAGTTTTATTTACTTATAGTTGTTTTATTTTTTTATTGTTTTTATTTTTTCAGAAACAAATATAACTTGAATTTGGGTGGGTGGCTCATTATTATTTTGCACACTTTCCCACAAATATATATATATATGATAATGTCATATCTTCATTTATATTGTGGCTAATTTTGATGATTAAAACTTTTCTCTATTTTTGTATTGGTGTGTCTCATCTACATATTTACGCAACAAATTTATTATAATTTTCATTTCAATGAATAATTATATCTTCAGTTCAAATTTTGATTTAATGTTAATTGTAACAGAATGTCTAGTATGTTTTGTTTTTTGTTTCATCTGTGTGGCAATATTTTACATAACTGTAGCACTATAAGCATTTTTGTATTGGGGTGTAAACACCACAGGGGACTTTCTATTTTTAGAAATTCGAGGTTGCAGAGGGGACTAACACAGGGTTAATAGAAAATAAAACCAAATGAATATTTTATTTTGTACAGATCATTTGCAATTACAGTACTAAGACAATTTCCTAAAAAAAATAAAATTAATTTTTACTAAGAACCTTTTGACAACGTACTTTTAGAATTTGTATTTGAGGTCATTCAGGATCGTAGTAGAAGTTGATACATTACAGCCAAACTATTTTGTTTAGGCAAGATTGTGTTTTTATAACTGGCAAAATAACGATTTACTTTTGTAGAATAAAAATAATTATTTCAAAATTTCTGAATGGTTACAAAGAAAGATCTTAAAAAAAACATTTGAAAAAATAAATCTGTATTTGAAGTTGTGTGGTTATATGTTGGCTCTGTCTCCAAATAGACTGATTGGTGTGCCATATGAATCCATTTACACCACATGAATCTGAGAGTCAAATCATAGAAGTATTGCAGATCAAATGTGAACTCTTCGGGTCAGTTTGTATTGCAAGTCATATCAGATTCTTACATCTACAGAGAGAATGTTATATGAAGCATATGGTGATAGAACAAAGAAGAAACAACCAAAGTTTAAAAAAATAAGCAATTGTGTTAACGTTAAATACAGCAAATAATAAATCTGTGTAAATGTCTCTTTTCGATAGAGATAAGTGGAGTCATAAAATCTGTCTGCAGAGGCGTACGGTAGGAGGATGAGTTGTGATTTACTATGGTGACAGACTTTGGTAAGTTGTCTTTTCAAGATGGGAGGTTGTGTTCCTATGAGTGTTGTGAATCTGGGCTGTTATGTCATGCAACTGCCAAATATGTCCTGTTGATGGGCTTTTATGTCCTTTCCTTAGGCTCAGATTGGTTCCAGTTTTTATTTTGTGATTCTTTAGGTAGAAGTGGGTTCTGTTGGCTGGAAATTCCGGATTGTAGTTTTCTTTGAGTGTGTGAGTAAAAACGGAAGCCATGTGCAGTTGATGTAATTTTAGTTCAGTCTTAGGTTTCAGAGCGTTCACATCTGTCCATTGATAGAAATTAGTGTAGCTTGAATCAAAAGATCAAGGATGTCACAAAATAGTGATTGGTGTGCCATATGAAACCATTTATGCCACATGAATCTGAGTGTCTCATTATAGAAATGTTGCAGACCAAATGTGAACTCTTTTGGTCAGTTTGTATGTTAGCAAAAATTGCAAGTCATATCAGATTCTTAAAAAAAAAAAAAGAGGGAATAAAAGAATCTTTTTGTTGTACTTTTGATGCTGGTTAATCAAATTTTCTTCTTCATTGAAAGATTAATACACTGATTTAATTCTTGTCTTTTATTTTCTAGCACTGGCTGCCACAGACGAAATGACAATTGGTAAAGAGTTGTTCACTTTTAAAACTCCCAAGAAGTCGGGTGCTATGGCTCAAAAAGGTGCAGGCATTTAATTTGAATTCTTTTCCATTTTTACTTTTTGTTTATATCTAACCTTTTCTATGAAGATTTATAAATAAATTCAAACATTTTTATATTTCAAATTAAAATTGGCCAATTTTATTTGGAATGATGATAATTTAAAAATTTTATACATGAAGCATTTCTATTACTTTTTTCTTTTTTTTTGATACAACTGTCTGGGTTGATAAGCTCTTCAGCCATTAGTATAACATCGCAAATTTAAAAAGAAAAGTAACTTGTACTGAGATCTGAACTTGCATTCTTCATTTTGTATGACAATCTTTCATGGACATCATCTTACTTAATTTGGCTATGAAGGCTTCATTCACTAAGCAGTATATGGATCAGTGACCTTATTCTCTGATATGAGGGTTTAGCCAAACAGTCAATTGAAAAGGAGAGAATATAGAATAGCAACAGATTTGGTAATGGTAATATTAGCCATTTTCCTATAAGGAAACATTTGGCATTCATTGACATAACAGCCACTCTTATTTTCTGTCAAATTTTACAGAATCTTTTAAAACAATTTTGTAAGGAAATAAGTTTCTTAAACCTAATGGTTGTTATTGCTTTTTCTAGTATTGATGTGGTCATGGTTGGGGACGGGGGTGCTTCCTTCCTAACCTTTTGTTTGAATTAATGTGGAACATCGACATCTTGATTAGGACCGTGTTTAAGGAAGCTTGTATTTTAACACTAAATGAATTTGATTTTGCTAAATCCAAGCCACTAAAGTCCTGTAGCTGTTATCATTCTTTCCAGTACTGCTGAGGAGTTTCCTTCGTGACCTTTTGTTTGAATTAGTGTGGAACATCAACATCTTGATTAGGGCCATGTTTAATGAATCTTGTATTTTAACACTAAATGAATTTGAATCTGCTAAATGTAAGCCACTGAGGCACAGACAGCATACCAATTATCAGCATTGACAGTGAATTCAGTGTGTCAAGTTCAATTCATTTTCTCTCTCCAGCTATGGGTTAAATAGCAGAGTAGACTGGGCTCTCTTGCATTGAGGTCACAACTGGAACAAGGAAAACTCTGAATTCTAAACTGGCCTGGAGATGTGTACCATCAGGCTATCTTGCCTTAGACACACTGCAGCTTTTGCTATGGCTACAGTACACATGGTGCTCTTATGGACATAACATGACATGATGAAATGTAAGCGGAGTTTCGTCTAATGTCATTACCACTCACTGATTTTGCAAAAATTTATTTTCTAAATCTCTTTCAGCTGCGTTTTGCTCTTAACTTTTTATGGCTACTAACAAAACAATGAAAATGTACAAACAATATTGTTAAAAATTTATTTTCTAATCTTTTTTTATTTAGATTTTTTCTTAACAAAACAAGAAACACAAACAATATTGTTAATATAATCTTTTATTTAGATTCCTTGAGGTATTTCCCATGTATATATCCCTGCTACCAACTAATTCTATCACATCTACAATTGAAAAGAACTTATCCAAACTCAACATAAAATCTGTTAGTACTACATCTAAAACAATAAAAGATTTAATCAATACTACACAAGATGATAAGCTAAAACTTGTAGGAGGAATTTATTTGATAGCTTGTAATAATTGTCACAAAAAACACATAGGAGAAACTTCAAGGAATCTAAATAAACAATTATATGAACACAAAAGAGACATTTTACAAAACAATACATCAAATGCATTGGTTGCCCTTCATAATGAGACTGAGCACAATTTTGTAATAAAAAAAAGATGCTACTCTGATCAAAGGAGAAAATAATTCACTATGACCTAAATATCTAGAGAGTGCTCTGATCTCAAGGTCATCTACAGTAAATTTGTGCCCAAGCTCCTTCAATGTTTTACCATTCTGTGGCAGATCTAATATCACATTGTGATATATCTACTTACAAAAGTGATGAAAAGAAAAGACTCTAAATAAATTCAGCTAGGTAAAAAAAAAAAAAAAAATTAAAAAAATCCCCAGGATTCCTTGTTTGTGTGCATGTGTAGTTGTACCAACATAACAAATTTAATCTGAAGGACAAAATGCATCACAAGTAAACTTTTTTCCCTTTGTTATACAATTTTGCAATTGACAAGGAACTGTGATTAAGTTTTTGAATTAATTTTTCTTGTGTTTGTATAGTTTTTTTCTTTTTTGGACGTAAATTATATAGATATTGTCAGAATGTGTTCTGTATAAATTTTATACATAATTACGTCTATAAAAGAAAAAAAATTATAAGAACACTTAAAAAATTTAACTGCAGTTTTTGTCAGTCATTTTTAACAAAACTTGTATAAAAGAGGGATTGTTGTCTAAATACTAAATATACAATTTTGATATATATACACACACACACACACACACTGATGTTATAATGGCCAGAAGTATAGTTGACAGTATTGGATTACAATCATTTGGATAATATTTACATTCATTCCAGACACATTCTCTTCTATATATACAAAAAAACTACTGCAAGTTATGTAGATCTTTTCAGTTCAACTCCTCCTATAAGTGCTTAATGGGATTGTGAACTGGTGATCGGGCCAATATAGCAAAAATCTTTTTTCCTGAGACCATCCTTATGCTGTGCAAACTGGACCTTATTGTTCTGGAATTGGCCATTGTTGTCATAGAAGACTGTTATTATGAAGATGTATACATGGTGTTGAATGATGTTGAAGGAAATGGTGCAGAAAAGTTTACTTTTCCTATGAATGTAACAACTAAGTGTTATCTAATTGTTTTATTTATTTATTGTAGCACTTGATTCACGAACACCCAGGACACCCACATCTCAGATCAAGAAAGATGGTGATCCCATGGGTACCCCTAAAACCCCCAAGACTCCAGGAACACTCAAAGCAAAGAAAAATCTCAATGGCTATGCCACAAAAGATGATCAGAGTAAGTGTATTCAAACAATTAATATCAGTCACAAAATTTTGAGTTTATATTTGCTTTTTCTACTTTTCTGGTATGAAGTCAATGTTTAAAATGTTCTTCTTTTTAGTTCCAGTTTGTCACTACCTCCCCAAATTTATAGACAAAACATACAGATGCATGCTGGGATTTTTTCCTAACCAATAAGATATGCCACTACTCAATCTCATTTGCCTTATTGCTGTTCTTTCTTGTCTTGAAGACAGAACGCTGTGATCACTTGTCTGTATCACTTTTGTGTGTTTACACCATTAATTTGTGAACCTTTTGCCTTGGATATATTGTCTGCTTAATATTTTTTGTCCTGTTCTTTTCTTGTTATTGTTTATTGGAAACTTTGTCAATTGTTTGTTGGGCAAAGTTCTGCCAATTACATTTAACCATAGCCAATTACTCTCCAACTTGCCTCACACATTTTCCAATATTTATTGTCTTAATGGTGTTGAATTAGTGTAGTACGATTATCATATATTATTTATAGCTTGTAGAGTTTTCATTAATACCATGCTCTCATAGTGAGTTAAAAACAATCACCTGTTCTACTAATTAAAATTATTTTTTTCATTATTTAAGTAAAATGATTATATTCTATTGATTTTTTTTTTTATTTTTTATTTTATTGGTTGATCCATTATTTGCAAATGGCCAATTGTGTAACCAGTTCTAAACCCTGTCTGTTGAAATGGTTAATTCTCATCTCAGGTATTTGCTAGTTTATATGTAAGTACTTTTGAGAATAGTTTGTATACATTTGACAGTCTTTGAACAAGAGTATGAAATAGAGCTTCATATTCTTGAATTTGCTTAATGTCCAAATTTTTCTCATGCTGATATAGCATCTGCTTGCCAACTGGAGCACTTTCTCCACGTACACACGAGGCAATGTAGTTAACATTCTCGTTGGGCTGTTATCTAATACTGCAACAAGAATCTGTTTATATTTCTGAGATGAGATATTATGTACACTATTTACATTATTTAGACTGTTGTCCTCATCTTTGTCGCCATATTTATTACAACATTTTGGCCGTTGTACGCTCTGGCCTTCTTCAGGTGGTTGGAATGTTGAACTGAACCCTTTATTTCGCTCACTGGGGTAGACTGTTCTAGTTCTACATGCCATGTTTAATGGATGTCAGTTGTCAATTATCTCCTGAAGGACACATGGCACAGTGGATAAAGGCGTTAGTTAGATAGGATCCAAAGAGTGCAAGTTCAATACCCGGTAAAGGCAGTGAAGAACTTGGAGAGGGGAATTAACAGGAGATAATTCACTTCTGGTAGCTTCTTTTCCAGTCAAGTTTTCTCTTCAAAAATTTAAATGCAACATTCATCGTATTCTTCTGATGTCTTCATTTCTGTTCTTTTATTGTTCTTGCCCCTTAATTTTATTTTTCTTATATTCTTTCACACTCAGTAAACCCCCATCCCTGCATGTTAGTGGCTTTAACAAAAACAAAGAGTATCATACCAGTTGATATCACAATTTCAGTTCCATAGTAAACTGTTCACTGGCCATGGATCTGATAGCTTATTTGATCCCCCACCCTACTTGCTTAAAGAATTGTTTCAGGTTCTCCATTGATGTGCTTCATCTCCATAACACAGGCGAACTGGACATGAAAATACAACCACAATGAAAATTACTGATGTGGTCATTAAAATATACCCCCACACATTATTTTAGTATGGGTTTATGATAATAAATTTTTGAACAGGGTGGTAATGTCATAAATTCTTTTATAGTACTCATGGTATTCATGACATCTCCAATTCTGGTACCAGCTCTCTACTTGGTGGTGGGTGTGTGTGTGTTTTTATGTTTCATTCTTATTTTCCTTACTATTACAGCTGCATTTTTGTATCAGGTTTCTCGATCATCATTACTGTAGTGAAACATGTTTAGTGCTCCATGACCCATGTAGATGTTAATTTAGCATACGCCTGTATTACAAATTCTATTTGCTTGCAGAATCCAATGACAGACGAAAGATGACGGAAAGACACAGCCGCCCTGAAACTACGACCCCTTATCGTCTTCGCAAAAGAAACATTGAGATTAGTGAGTATCATTTATTTCTTGAATTAGAAATTTGGATGAGAAACAAAAGGCAGCTTTTTCTCTCTCTCTATCTCTATGCAATTGTCAAAGCACTTCTGATCCACTTATTATACATCTACCGTGTCTTTTAAGTATTGTAGTTGGATAAAACTACAAATAGTCAATGGGAATTAAATACAAGGGAAAATCAAAAATTATCCACACTCTTGTTATGTACTATAGCAAAAGTGCAGATAATTTTTGACTTAGCCTGGTATTTTGATCAAGTTTTGTTTAGATTGAAAAATGCTTCAACAAGCCTTAACTGATAGAGTAAGAAATGATTTGACGAAACTTTTACCGATAGATTGAAAGATGACAACATATCTTTTACTGATAGGTTGACAATTAGATTGCTCAGTCAAGAGTTTTACTGGTAGATTGAAAGATGCTTGACCAAGACTTTGACTGATACAACAAATTATGCCTGGACGAGACTTTAACAAGTAGACAGAAATATACCTGGCTGGGACCTTTACCGGTAGACTGAAAGACTCCTGGACAAGACTTTTATGTAATGGATTAATAGAAAGACCATATCAATAAAACTTTTGTATTGAACTTTGCTTGGATTGAGAGAGAGAGAGAGAGAGAGAGAGAGAGAGACAGACATTCTTCTACGACAAGACTTGCCATTATCATTCATCGCTCCCATGACTGGGTATGGTCATAAGATCACTGACAACACTTTTACCCATATTTAAGAGAAACAAAATATTTAAAATGACTTTGTTATGATTTATCTTCAGATTATGATGCAGAAATTTCTAGTGACAGTCTTGATTCTTCCAGTGATGAAAATGATGCTGATTCTGTTCTCAGTGAAACATCTGCTACTTCTAATGAACAGACAGACAAAACGCCATTAAAAAAGACACCGTCTTCAAAGTCCCGTGCAAAGGTTGCAACCCCAAGTCATTCTAAGAAGCTTACAGAAGTGGAAATGGTAATCACTGCTTTCTATGTTTTTTAAGTTTTTTTTATTGACAATATTCCATTTATTTCCAAGTTTACTTGTCTTTATTTTGAAGAGAATATTTTATACCACCTTCTATGATTTAACAGAATTATGTGGACTGTAGAATTCCTGAATAAGTTGATATATTCATCGTCATTTCTTTTCTCAAATTGGGTGCTTAGAAAGTGAGAAGAAATATCTTGGTTTTCTCCACTCTGCAAGGCCCACATTAGGTGTTAATATATCTTAATACAATGGGGGAAGAACTCAAATCACTTATAGAAATTCTAAAAATGAGTTGTATCTTAAAAAATTTTATATACATCATTACAATATACCAGTATATCTTAATTTGTTCCACACCGAAATTATAGCACATATCAAAAAAGCATGACGTCTGTGAAGGGATGAATGTAAAGAATGTCCTATTTGTAATGTTTTGTATGTTGTATTTAATAATACATGTATTAAAAATTACTGATCAAATCTACATTATATAGTGTGTGAATAATATTATCCTTGGTGTACTGGTACTATAGGTGTAATATAGGTACTGTGCTTATATATATATATATATATATATATATATATATATATTATACACTGTTACATTAGAACATGTAAGTTACTACTACGAAATTGTGCATTTTTTAATTTATGAAACATCACTTTGTTTTCTGTTTTTGCAAAATTTTCCGTATGAGTTAAAAAGAATTTTTTTTTTTTTTTTTTTTAAAAAGGAAATAAGAAATCAATAAAAGGAAAAAGAAAGCATGAGGAATTAACCCTCGTACCAAGAGAATAGAAAGAAAAAAGGAAGGCAAAAGAAAAAGAGAGAAGTACATATTCAAAATTACACAGATACAAAGGAAGAGGAAAATAATATAAGATGTTGATATGAGTTAAGCCGATGAAATTATGCTGAGAAAGAGAATTCAAATTTGAACAGAAATGAAATGCCAATAGATAGTAATACATTAGTTACAATGTTTCGTTTAAAATTTTATGGTATATATATATATATATATATATATATATATATATATATATAAATTATGAAATGGACAAAGTCCGACAATTATTTTAAGACATTTTTATGTTTATACATTCTTTTTATAGATACAAATATTTAAGTAAATGCTCTGTTTATAATAAGCAGTATTAAACAACATTTGCCGGCCTGAATGGCTAGGAAATTTTCACAGAAAATATTCGTCCTCCGACAGGATTCGAACTTGTATCCTATACGAAACCGTCATTTAGCTTTATAAATTTAAAAAAATAAACAAATATAATTACAAAAGCTTGAAACTCAGGGTTACAAATTCATACCCATAAACTGATTTTATATATATATATATATATATATATATATATATATATATATATATATATATACTGGGTCTTATCTCATGGGAGTAATGCTAAATTAAATGCAGATTCAAAGTTCAAATTTAATATAAACTTAATATAATGTTTTAAATACAGAATGTAGAGTGTAGGTGGGGGGCTGTTGTAAAAAATAAAAGCAAGCTTAAAGTTTAAATGAATGTGACAATTTTAATCACATTTTCCCTCCAAACGTGACAATTTTAGTCACATTTTCCCTCCGAACGTGACAATTTTAGTCACATTTTTTATATATATATATATATATATATATATATATATATATATATATATATATATATATATATATATGATTAATTTGAATGGAATTGTCACTTAGCTTATTGATATTATCTTCAGCATCCCAAATCCAGAGTTTTGTAGACAGGCCTGTTCGTCCCACTCTTCAGGGGTTATCAACAATTTACTGCTTATTTTTTTTTTTTTTTTTTTAAATTTTTCTTTTGTTTTTTAATTGAAAGCTAAAGGATTAAATTTTCCACTTAGCATACTCTGGTGTATTTCAAAAAGAAATTATATTGATTGGATTCGACTTTTGTTTTTTGTTTTTTTGCAAAATCTATAAAATCGGCCATTTTGACACATTTATGAACAAAAGTTAAATCTCAGTTTTAAAAATCTTGCAAAAATAAAATATATATTTCTGAAACATTATTTGAGGAAAATTAGCAAAGTTAAAATTAATGTGATTTGAAACAAATATTGCATACATGAAGCATAAAATGTTGTATACAAGCTTTTCTTAATCACTGGGTCTTGTTTTTCTGATGTGTTGTTTGATTTTTTGGCAGCCTAACATTTAGACAGTTAAGTATAGTAGAGCAGAATTGCAAGCAGCTGAAAAAGTTTATATGAGGGTTTTTCTTCTTAAGGGGGACAATCCTTAAAATACGTGACTTTTAACAGTAATGCCAGGTATGAACATCCATACTTACAAATTTGACATGTTTTTACACATACAAAAATGAATCAAAATTCTTTAAAAATATTTTGTGTTATCAGATTGTAATAAGCTTTACAATATATGATAAGTAAATATAGTTTTACTTAACAATATTTCCTAAGAGTTGCACTACTGAAACTGAATTTTAAGAGTTAATCTTTATAAATTATTCAATTTAAAATTGTAAAAAACTGAAAAGAAATCTTCACTTTTTATCAAAATTTTTTTTCTTTAGACAGTATTGTCTTTAATATATATTATTCATAAAAGCAATTAAAAGCTTCTCTAATTAAAGAATGTCTTAGTTTTATTGTGTTTTTTTAATTTTTGACACAGAACATATTTTTAGTAAGACATGCCCAATTTGGCAAAAAAAAATTTGGTGATTTTAAAATTTTTCAAAGAATTCTGCTTTTAACTAATATAGTCACTAAAAATTATCATGTTAAATTTCTGGGATGTGATGTCTACTGCAAATACAAGTATTCACTATGATAATGTTTGAAATAATAAAAATGTCAGATTATAAAATAAATCCATTACTTCCTTAGAAATTGTTTTGTTTGTTTCAAATACCAAACTGTGCAGATGTGGGCTTTTGTACCTTTTGTCATTATCATGAGGCTCATTCAACTCTTTCTAAATCCTTTTCATGGTCCTCAGATTGACACACAAACACTCTGAAATGTTTGTATTGGAGCTTCTGGCATGAATGCCAAGCAGTACAGCATGCCATTTCCAAATTTCTGGAGGAGTGAATTGTCATGGTGCTCTTTTTCTCACAGCTGAGTATCTGAAAAATAATGATGGCTGGCTGGAACAGATACTACACTTTGATCCTCATCATTTTGACTATAGAAAGCATATATTTATTGCATAAAAAGACAATTGTGACACAAGGTGATGTTGGTTGTTTCTATCATAAATTTAACTAATCTGATTCACGACCCATTCATTCATTGACCATGGAATGCTATTATTTTTTTCCACAATGGTGCATAGTCCTGTTGCCAGACATAAGGTCTTCCAGCAGTCACCCTCTTGACCCAGGGCAGCACTACTTCCTCAAGGCACTTGATGTAGGCCTGTGTGTTGTGCCTGAGTCCCTGTGGGAAAATGAATGGAGGCATAATGTCACCATCACTCGTGATCACTCCAAACACCTTCATAATCACCATTAGACACAGTCAACTCTTTCCAAATTCTTAGATTCTCTTTTTCCCAATTGACCCTACTATAGTGTTCAGTCGACAAAAACAAACAACATGCATGTGTAAAATTAAAAGTATAAAATAGCAACAATTTACCCATTACACCCTGTGTGTGTGTGTGTATATATATATATATATATATATATATATATATATATGCTGCATGCATGCAACAAATTTTTCCATTGTAGAAATCTCATTAATTTTTTCATGGATATTTAAATTTTATTAACTTAAATCGTTTCAAATTAACCACAGCATTTAAGTTGCAGTGTTGCCATTGTAATGATATTTTTCCTTAAATGTTTCAAGAGAATGCTTGTACAGAGCGAAATGTTAAGGAAATAAAACAAAAAAAAAAACAAACATTCAAATGGTTTATACATACTTTCTTTGGATATTTAGTATCAATTATTTTTATCATTTATTAGATTGACTAGAAAGTCCTGACTCACTTAGGAAGCGGAAAGAAAAACATCAAAATTTATGGAAAAAAAAAACATTTATTCTTCAAAAGTCCATCATTCTTGATGATCTGTTTTTATGAAAATCCCGACAACATAAAAGTCTATATCTGTTGCACAAGCCATGAGTTCAAGAAAAGATTCAATCAACATCAAAGATTGTTTAGGATAAATAAATACCGAAATCAGATGTCCCTATCGAAATATTTCTGGCACTTAAAAGAAACCAATAAAACACCTACAGTAAAATGGAAATTAATAAGAAAAGCCAGAATATGTAAATCATTAAATGACTCGTGTCTTTTGTGCATACATGAGAAACTGTTTATTACTAGATTTATAAAAAATAAAAATTTACTGAATCATAGACATGAAATAGCTATTCTTTGCCGACATTGTCAAAAATTTTCCTTAAATAATATTTAAAAAAAAAAAAAAGAAAAATGTGTAGCTGATAATATACATACTTATGCATAATAATAATTTTTAATTAATTTAAGTAATTCTATTACATTTGTTTTAAAAAGAAATATAATCTATTAGTAATTAAAAGTAAAAATATTTTAAAATTGTAGATCAATACAACGTATTCTAATGCAAACACCCCTTTTAGAAAGAATCTGTATGCATACAAGTAGAAATTTAACGAATAAAATTCCCAAAAACTTTTGGCCATTGATAAAAAACCAGACGACATGCGTTGAACGGATGTCATAATTTGTTGAAAAAGCACCCCTACCCTACCTAGACTTAACCTCTTTTTCAAACGCAACTCATAATTGATACAACAATAGTTAATAAAAAAGAACACGCTACCTCCCCTGTCTAAAAGATTGGATTTCTCTGTATCCTTGGAAACAAAAATTATGAATGTATGTGCTTTTAAAACTCAATAAATTTATTCCAAAATTTGCTTGAAGGTGAAACAGAACTAATGCTTTTAATTTAATGTAACTGAATTTGAAGTTTTCAGTTTCTGTTTTTGAAACATGGTAATTTCTGTGTAGCGATGAAACCATATTTTGAAATCAGTTAATTTATAATATATAGTGTGTGTATGTGGTTTTTAAAAACTTCCTAGTTATATTAGTAGCTTTAGAAATAAATGTATTTTTAAAATACCAAATGATATTAAATGTGAAACGTCCTTGTAATTATCAACTTGTGCTTATTCTTTCTGCTTTTTTCTACATTCGCAGACGACTGCTGTTGAAAATTATTTTGAAATTCATTCCTACAAAGGCATCACATCAGATCGAACTTTGTCTAAATTAAACTCTCCTCGTATTGGACAAGAGGATTTATCGAAACTTCTTCAAAAAGTTTTGCCCGGACATCGAAAAGAATGCAAAGCCCTTTTTGAAAATTATAAACTTTTGTTTGACAAATGGATTTTCCTGTTTTCGTAAGTTTTTCCTTCCAATGTGAATTGCCTTTCAATATTTACTGAGTTTAACGTTGTCCAGAGATAAGGAATGCAAAGCTGGAAGATTGTGTTGTTTCAAGCTTCCAAGTGGGGAGGGCTTGCCTTAAAAAACCCTTATTTTTACCTGAGTTTGTACACTGACCACTGGTGTGAAATCGGAAACCAACTCGGTTACCAAGCAGGCTCCACTGTCTTCTATGGTGCAATGCTTAGCAGGTGCTTGCAAACCACGTTGCCTGTAGGGGTGGATTTGATTCTTACTGGGTATGCCTACAATTGTCATCTCCAGTCGCACCAGTTTTATCTGTTTCAATATTATGTTCTGTTTATATTGGGGGACAGCAAACATTTTTTTATGTGTAAGTGGATCAAATTGATAATGTTTTTGTTTTCGGGGTTGTAGGCAAATAGAGACTCAAAAGTAAAAAACACACACACACACAGGAGGTGTTGAGGAGTTCTCAACCCAACTTATCTCTACTTTATCAGGCCATAAACATTTTAGCACCTCCTCATACATATATATAAGTATGAGAAGTTTGGGAGGGGGTTTGTTTGTTTGTTGTTTTTTTTTTTATCAACCTTGATGGGTTATTTAATGTTGTCAAGATTGTTAGGATAAGTTTGTATGAATAGAATATGTATTCGTTGTAAAATATCCGTTTGTAGATCTGGTTTCATTGACGTATTTTCGTAAAAAGTGTTTTTGTCAAAAGTCTGGTTTGATTGTTGTCTTTCTTTTTTTTTTTCTTTTTTTTTTTTTTTTTTCCCCAGGTATACAGTTTGTAGAGAGATTGATTTTATTGACATTCTCATTTGGTTTATAGTTTTTGGTAGAGGCCCACCGTTTTAAGAAATTATATTTTGTCATTCATTTTGGGTTTTTCGAAGACCTCATACATGTTTATATTATAGCATTTTTGTCTTGAGAGAGCAAAGTCTGAACACTCAGTTAATATGCTTTATAGTGTATGTCATTTCACTTGCTTGGCATACTTGATGACCTTTCTTGTTTAACAAGTACACATGGGCTATTCCCATGTGGTCAATGCATAAGCAAGGCCAGTACCACTTTTTCTTTTTGAGGTTTTCTGAAAGCTTTACTTCCATTCTCCTAGTTTGAATTGCGAAGAGCTTATTTATGGATTATCGACCCAGCATCATTGCCATTCCTTTTGAATTTATTTGTTAATGACCTCCTAAAAGTCAGTTATTTTGGTTATTGAATCTACGCCCATTTGCAGACCTAGCAGCCAGAGCTGATTTCGCTGCTAGGTCTGCATTAGTGTTACCCTCAACTCTGATGTGGCTAGGAATCCAACATGATATGATGTCTTTATCTTTGCAAGTAGTGCTGCTCATTTTGTGAAATAGTTTGATAATGAGTGGGTCGTTGGATTGTTTTTTCCTTCAAAACCATTAGCATGGATATTGAGTCTGAAAAATTTTTTTTTTTTTTTGTTGGTTCTGTTTGATGATTTTGAGAGCTGGCTCTATTGTGTAAACCTCCACTATAAAAATAGAGCTTCTCTTTGGAAGGCGCTTTTTTTTTTTTTTTATTTATTTTTTTTTTTTGGTAATATCTTGGTTCACTGCTGCACATCGTGTCTTGTCCTTACACTTTGACCCATCTGTATAAATGGGTGTAGTGTTAGGGTTGTTTTCCAATATGCCATGAAACTTGTCCTGGAATATGAGTGGCTGTGTTTTTGTTTTTGCTTGTTTAGGGAGTTTATTTAATTTGATCAAAACTTTTTCATTGTTCATCATGGAATATTGGCTGCAGTCATTTCTTGTATGTTTGAAAGTGAGGGTCCATAACTCTTCAGCAATAGATTTTATCCTAAGTCCACAGGGTTGTATTATATTGTCTTTTTGTTGGAATAAATCAGTAATTAGGTTTCAAGGTAAGTTGGTTTAGTTGAGCATGATTTTTATTTTTAAATAATACTGTAGTGTTAGTTTAGTGTGCCTTAAATGTGGAGGTGTTTCATTAGTTTCTGTGTATAAGCTCTCCACTGGGGATGTTTTAAACACCCTAAGGACTAAACTGAGGCTTTCATACGTAGTGTTGAGTATTGAAGGTATGATTTTCTGGTCACCCCATATATGAAACTAATGTAATCCAGTTTTGAGAAAAGTAGTGATCTGTATAATTTAAATAATGTTTGTCAATTTGCTCCCCATTCAGAATGGGTTACCACACACACAAGTTGGACGACTTCTTTACTAAATTTTAGTTTTAAATATTTTAGATGGGGAATGAATGTTAATTTTTCATCAGATATGATGCCTAGGACCTTGTGTTGTTCCACTACTACTGTGATTTCTGCTCTGTCTAATTTTAAAAAGGGGTCAATGTGCAATTTCCTAAATTTCAAGAAATGTAGGCATTTGGTTTTTGTTTTGGAAAATGTAAAACCATATTCCGTGGGCCCATTTGTGTATTTTATTGAGGCATTGTTCGAGTTGTCTTTCTATGGTATGCATTCATTGAGATATGTGCATTATTAGAAAGTCATCGACATATAGGAAGCATCTCACTTCTGGGCTTAGGGATTTAAATATGGAATTAATTTTGATACAGAAAAGGGTCACTGAGAAAATGCTTCTTTTGTGAAACCCCTTCTTGGTTTTGCAGTTCTGATAGAATACGGACAAAATCTTCATTCTTCCAGGAAATTCTCTATGAATTGAGTTAGCCTTCCTTTTAGGGCCCCGTTCATCCAAGTCTTTAAAGATACCAAATTTCCATGTTGTATCATACACTTTTTGCAAGTCAAAAAAGACTGCCATGAGATGTTCCTTCTTAATGAAGGCTTCCCTTACAAAGGTTTCTAGGCATATTAAGTAGTTCATCGTGCTTTTTCTTCTTTTTTTTTCTTTTCTTCTTTTTTTTCTTCTTTTTTTTTCTTCTTTTCTTCTTTTTTTTTCTTCTTTTCTTCTTTTCTTCTTTTTTTCTTCTTTTTTTCTTCTTTTTTTTTTTTTCTTCTTCTTTTCTTCTTTTTTTTTCTTTTTTCTTTTTTTTTCTTTTTTTTTTTTTTTTTTTTCTTTTTTTTTTTTTTCTTTTCTTTTCTTCTTTTCTTTTCTTCTTTTCTTTTCTTCTTTTCTTCTTCTTTTCTTTTCTTCTTTTCTTTTCTTTTCTTTTCTTCTTTTCTTTTCTTCTTCTTTTCTTCTTTTCTGTTCCAGGTACCAAATCAACCTGTTGTCGACCATTCTCTCCATAATTTTACATAGGCAACTGGTTAATGTTATTGATCTGTAGTTTTCAGGATCTGTGTCATCCTTGCCAGGATTTAGAATAGGGATGATGAATGAGTGTCTCCACATTTCTGGCAAGTTGCCATCTGTTCATATGTTATGATACATTTTTAATAAGAGTTGTAATGATTTGTTGGGTAACTGTTTCATGAATTTGTAGTGTATATCATCTGGGCCTACAGCTGTATTGTGGGCTTTCTTTAAAGATACATTTAGTTCCTCCAGAGTCAATAGTAGGTTATAGCTCTTGGCATTATTTGATTTAAAGTTTCGTTTTTGTTTTTCCGCTTTTTATTTAAGCTTTAGAAATTGTTGGCTACCATTCTTAGCAGATGAATTTTTAGAGATTGGATAGTTGGTCAGCAATATCCTTTTTACTGGCTATTTTAATTATTTACAAAGAGGTGTTTTACAGCGTTTGTTTGGAATTTGCCTGCTATTTTCTTTATCATATTCCAGGCAGATTTTGTTTTTGTAGCAGAATTGGGTCTGTTGACAGTTTTTTCCAACATTCTTTTTTGGTTTCTTTAATTATCTTCTGTTCTTTTGCCCAGAGTTGCTTAAATTGCAGCAAATTAGAGTTTGTAGGTTGTTTGTTGAACTCTCTTACACTTTTTAGCCTGAAGGCTTTTTTACATTGAACTAAGGTCTGTTGCTTTAATGCATTTTTTAGTTATAAAGATGAGGATTTCTGCCAAATGTTTTAAGTCCTTGATGCTTTTTTTCTTCAACTAGTTTTTCAGAATATTGGTTTTTAAATTCTTCACAGTTCACTGTGCCTAATTTACAATGGAGAGGATTTTTGTCATTATGTTCCGAGTTTTGTAGGATGATTAACAAGTGATTGCCACCACGTGTGTCTGCCAGAAAATGGATTTATGTAAGTCACAGTTTTATCATTATAAATGCATAATTCATTGTTATTAATTGTTTCTAAGGTCCTTTCCTTTTGGTTTGTGTTTTTGCAACCCTATATGGTTCAGTGACAGTTAAAGTCCACTAGTATCATAAAAGGGGCAGAGCATTGCTTTATGATTTCATAAATTTCAGCTTCATTTACTGATTCATTCCGTGGGATATATACTGAGCAGATGTTTATTGTCTCGTGTAAGGGTCACCTGGAAAGTAGTTGTTAAATTTATTTTACTTTGATGTACATCATTCCTAATTAGGATTGATGTATCACCTGATGCTCAAAGCCTAGTGTCATGTTTGTTATATTGAAGGTATTCTTTTATATCTAGTTTGTCATTTTGCTTAAGGAATGTTTCCTGAAGGCAAAAAATTGCCAGTGATAGGTCTGTTATTATAAGAAGCAGGGCTGTGGAGTCAGAAGCAAATAAGGGATCCCTGGAGTCGGAGTCAGTAAATCTATACAGACTCCGACAGATTTGATAAATGTATATGTCCCTCTAATCTAGCTTATTTACAGAATCCATTTATTACAGTAATGTGGACTTTTCTTTATCAGGGACAAATTCATGTAACACCATTTCTTTGTTTATTTTTATCTCTCGTTTTCGCTGCAACGTCTTTTTTTATTTCTTGTTAACTGTTTTTCCTTCTTTGTTTATTATAGCATAGATTATGATTAGCATTCCCAGTTGATTTTTTATTTTAGATTATTGCTAATAATACAGGTTACTCAAGTTAGGAGTGCATGCATAGGCTTTATGAGATATGTAAGCCATAATTAACTTAATTACAAAGAGAGGAGTCGGAGGTACAAAAAATAAAGGAGACAGAATCAGAGATTTTGTGTTCTGACTCCGCAGCCTTGATCAGAAGCAGTTCATTTATCTTTGCCTTTATTCCACAGCAGTTCCATTGAATTATTTGATAGATGCTTGCTAAATCTTTGGGGGCTTTAGTTTATTATGAGGTTGTGATTTAACTTTCCAAGATTTTGTCTTTGGAGGTTTTGGCTGTTTGTTGGTTCTGGCTTTTCATCTCCATTTCTTCTGGTTTTGTCAAATCGGTTTTGTGTAGGAATTTGGACACTGTGAATTTTTGCTCTTGTTTGGTGCCTTTTTTTTTTTTTTTTTTTTTTTTAGAGATAAATTCTTTAGTCTATCTGTAGCAGGAAACAGTTTCTTCTCTAGCACAGACACAACACTTTCTAGGGTCTCTGGTTTAGCACAAACCACAACACACCGACCTAAATTGTGCTGTGCACAAACACTTGCCTCCTTTATTTGTTTTGCCAAGCCAGAAAATTAGCATCTTGCACAAAAGCTGCAAGCCTCAGTCTGGCTCAGTGATGCTTTTAAGCCCAGATGGTTGTACAGTTCACCTCTCACAAATTGCTTGTCTTATGTGCAAGTTTAGACTACACTCTGGCCCTCTGAGATTTTATATATATATATATATATATATATATATATATATATATATATATATATATATATATATATATATATATATATACACCACATTGTAGACTGACACAACTGTCAGAAAAATAGTGAATAAACAAAAAAAAAGAAAAAAAAAAAAAAAAAAAAAGGCTGCTGTGTCACATTTTCTGTCCCCTCCCCTGGACTTGTTTTGCATTCATCCTCACCCACATTATTTACCTTTCCACCCAGCTTGCATACCTTTTGATTTTCATTTGGCAGGGACAGAGAAGTCAGTAGCAAAAGAAAGAAGAGATTGGCAGACATATTATCCTTCAAACAATAACCTGTGGATGGAGTGATTAATTCACTGATGATACCCAAAGGGACAGTTATGTCACACACACACACACACACACATATATATATATATATATATATATATATATATATATATATGTGTGTGTGTGTGTATATTTCTGACAGTTGTGTCAGTCTACAATGTGGTGTGTGTATGTGTGTGTGTGTGTGTATATATATATATATATATATTATAAAAACACACATTGATATCATGGCATGTAATCCATGTCTTGCATCTTGTAACCCATTAGTCATTAGGATATCTCTGCTGCAGTAATAAGTGTTGAGAGCTTTCAGATTGCCTGATGTGACAGATTTGTTTTTATGCTTATTTTGAATTTAAAGTTGCCCTTCACTTGGTCTGGTTGCTCTACCAAGGATAAAAGGTTTTTAGTCTGCCCTGCTATTTCACTAGAAGAATAAGTGTTGCCTTTCCCAAGCAAGCAAGTATTTGACATTTTTGGAACATTTCCCAAGTGATACGCATTATATCCAGTCTGAAAATACAGTCTCAAAATTTAAGAATTGGTTGAACTTTGGCTCAACTTCAAATATTTGTCAAGTTATAATTGTTTGTATTTAATCAAAGCTCACATCTGTTTAATCATATAATCTTTTTAGATGGTTAATTCTAAGTAGATTACTTTTTCTGCCTCATTTTGCCTGGAAGTGTAAAGTAAACACAAAATCCCTCTGCTGGAATTTGAATTACTGATTTCTTCTTTTTTTTTTTTTCTTTTTGGCCAAAAGTTTGTATTTCATTTATTTTTTTTCTTAAAGAAAATGTACCTTTATATACCAATAGATACAATTGAATGAATTTTTAATGTACAGGCTTTTATTTATTTATTTTTTTTTCTTATTTCTCACGTTTAAAAAAAAATTCTAGATTTGTCTCTTTGACAATTTTTACAGTAATGGCTTTAACATTTTGCTCTATGGTATTGGTTCCAAAAAACCACTGATTGAGGATTTCCAACAGACCAGACTGAAGGATTATGACCATGTCGTGGTTAATGGCTTCTTCCCAAGTTTATCCATAAAACATGTGAGTATTTGAAATTATTTATACTTTTTCTCTTACGTTAGACAAGGTGATATGATGATAGTGTTGCTCCAAACTTTTAATTGGGGAGAATCTGCTTGCCTTGAAAATCAGAATTCTAGTTTCTTGTATTTTTTTTTTTCTTTTATAGTACTAACTGGTAATACCATTAGAGTAGTAAGAAATGAGAAAGTTTCAGGGTAAATACGAACTATAGGAAAACTACTGCTAGCAAAATACAGCTGAGAAAAGAAGGCATGGATGATTTAGCATTCATAGGACATATTGAAGACAAAAAGTAATCAAGAGAAGAATCATGTTATTACTACTGCTTGCTAGTGGAAAAGAGGAAGGGGAATTATTGTCTTGCTTTTATAGTCCTGAAATGGCATCATCTAGTGAATCCCCACATTTTATGGAAATTTAGTCCATATTTTGAGACTTGTAAAGATTTACATTGATTTAATTTTTAAATTCAAAACCCAGAACATAATACAGACTTGTAATGGAGAAAAATTCAAAATACTTAAAAAGGGTAGATAATTCAGTAATTCAGAATTCTTACAGAAGAAGAGAGAAAAGAGCTGAGTTAATGCAACATATGATTGTTATAATTGTACAATTGTCTAATTGCATTGTTGGGACTTGTACTTAAAAATTAAATCAATTGAAGAGAATAGAAGTCTTGAAACTTGTTCGAGATTTTCATAAAATATTTAATGTATTTTATAAAGTTTTTGATTATGTGAGAAAGCAATTTACAATTTATCAATTCAATCTACTTGTATTGCACAGTTTAATTTTTTTTTTCTATTAAAAACATCAGGTGTTATTTTATTCTTCATGTAAGTAAGTAAAAAGGGGGGTTTGGAGGAATAGGTTTTATCGGTTGCTGTGTCTTATTTGAAATTCTTTTCTCTTTTTGGAATTTAGATTTTAAATTGTATTACCGAAGAAATACTTGAAAGTCAATTGACATTCAAGACTCCATTGGACCAGTGTGAATTTATTAAGAATACACTTGAGTGTAAGTATTCACTTGATTGGATAATATTTATTTCTTAATTTGTCTTTATTTTTGTTTCTGTATGTGGGCCAATTATGAGAATTCAGGCGGCGCCTGGTTTTCAGTCATTCACTTTTACAAAGAACATCATTAATAAAGGCTTCTCCCCTGCTAATAAAAATAACCTAAAGCAAAAGTACCAATTGGCCTCATTTATATGAGATAAATTTATGAGCATTCCCAGACTTCCAAAACTAATTTATATCTACAATACTCATCTTGAATGATGACATTTATAATTTGTGCTTAAAGTAGAATTAATGAAATCTGTATTTTGAGTTTGTGCATATATATATATATATATATATATATATATATATATATTATTGTGTATATTTAGGAAGCAATTTTTCATTAATGCATGTTTCATTAAATAATATAGACAAGTTTTGTCTATTTATTTTAAGTAAGTTCCTTTTATATTGTCTGATAAGCTTAATCGCATTATTGCTAAAAGACGAAAAGAAAACACCATATTGATACATGTTTAAATCCAATCTAAGCTTTTGGCTTTCACAAGCCATTATCAAAGATGACAATTTCAATAAATCAAACAACACACGGATGAAACAACAATGATAGTCCGCCCTTGCTGCATGAAAATTTCCAAGTAACAACAAACTCATATATACGAGATGTGGAAGCGAAAATCGCGTCGCAGCTTGTGACGTTACGCATGACCACGCAAGAGTGAAAAACGAGAAGTATTAAGTATGGGAAGCCATTGGTATAAATCAATGGCTTCTGTTATAAATTATAGGCATTTAAGGATATTTGTGGAGATTTCATAGTTTACTTTGTTCAGGTTAGGTTCCAACTATTTTATGTATAAAGCTTCAAGAATTTTAAATTTTTGTTTGTTTTCATGTTTAAGTATAGTTGTGTTTTCATGCAGCAAGAGCAGACTATCATTGTTGTTTCGTCCTCTGATCAGGAGGTTTTGAGGAGCATGGAACTGCCTCTTAATTGCTGGTGTTCCCAGGTCCACTCTGACTCAGGGTGGTAGCACCTGTTAGGGTCCCAGCTATGGGCAAATAATTAACACCCAAACTTGTGTAAAAATAGGTTTTAATACCAGAAATACTTTGTAATGATAAGAATAAAAAAAATTATTACCAGCAATAATTTTTGAATTATTATCAGCATATCAGAAATACTTTAAAAAAAAAAAAAATACCAGCAATACATTTTTTGAAAAAAATATTACCAGCTATAGATTTCTTCAAGGAAAAATATTCCCAGAAATAGATTTTTGAAGAAAAACATATTACCAGCAATGAAAATTTTGTCGGCATTAAATAACCCATTGAGGTTGATATGCTGTAAAACAAACAAAACCACTATACTATTTCTCTATACTGATCGTTAGCTGAACTACTATTTGGCAATTACTATTTGAACAAGTATTATTAGTGCATGTATTATTCGAAGGAGTTACTACTAGTATCTGTGATTTCAAAGTCTAGACTACAACAAGCATTATGAACGTGATAATGAGCGCTCATTGACATCACAAAAAGTGACAACAAGTAAGCGTCTAACATCACAAAACACACATACACACACACACACACACACACACACACATATATATATATATATATATATATATATATATATATATATATATATATACACACACACTGTAATGTTCACTCAATAAAAGGCCCAAGAGCCTCTCAAGGTAGAGGGTTACTGTGTGGTGTTCTATAAAAAAATAGGCAGGAAGTGAAGTTCATGTAGGAAAGATAACAGTTGACATGAAGAGTTTGAGATTGTAGTGATCAAGAAAACATCCTGCCAGGAATCTGTCTCACAAAGTAGCAGTTCTTGGGAAGAAGTTTTTCGAATTAAATTTATTTCTCACTAATGGAACGTGGAGGGAATGGGGATGATTCACACTTGTGTACGTGGCATGGTGGACCCTAGTTGGAAATGTAAGGGAGTGGTAGGACCAAAAGGTATGTATCTTGTTAGAATTAAGGCAAGAATTTTGTTCCAAAAAGTAATGAAAGATTTTAAATTTTTTTGAAATGATTACTTAGCAAAAAAGCTTTTAATTTTCAAAACTTAATTTATTTTTTTTTTCAGCTGCAAAGAGAGATTTTTATTTATTAATCCACAACATTGATGGAGTGATGCTTAGGCCAGCCAAAGTCCAAAATATACTCAGCTTTCTTAGTAAAATAAAAGGTTTTCATATTGTGGCTTCTATTGATCACATCAACGCCCCACTTAGTAAGTTTTTGACTTTTATTCTTGTTTCACTCATTATCATTCCAAGACAATTTTCTTTTCTTCTTTTCTTTTTTCTTTTTTTTTTTTTTTTTTGTCATAATATTCTGCAGCCTTTGGGGGCGTATGTCAGATGTGTGGTTCAGTTGGCAACTATGAAGGAAGGCTGAAGAAGAAATATTTTTCCTTCGGTTGGCTGATTCTTAATTCTGGAAAATTGCTGAATAAACATCTGGAAGAAATAAATCTTTAAGGATTGAAAAATTGTGGTCAGTCAAAAATTGTCAATTGGCCAAATATTCGTCCTAAAAATGTCTGTTAAAATATAGATCAGGTGAATTTGGCACTTCAGAAGAAATTAACCTCGTTAAAGAATTATGTGCCTGAGTAAGGCACCATAATTTGCTTTTTCTGCTTTTTTTTTTTTTTTTTTTTTTCAGGTTCTATATTAAAAACAAATGAAAAAAATATCCAAAAATAACCTAAAAGGCTTAAATCTGGGGTTTTTACTAGTAGGGTAAGAAACAAAACGGAAACATTTATAAATCTAACATGTTTCGCTTGTATTAAAGCTTCATCAGAGAATGAAGTATGAAGAGAAAAAAAAAATTCTGGTATTTTTAATTTTTTTGTTTTCTTTTTCTCTTTTTTCTTTTTTTTTTGTTTAAAATAGAACTCCTGTGTATCTGTTTTGTCAAGTAGTGTTCATGTGTATATTCATATATTTGAAGACTTTTTACTATTAAATTACATGCCACTTTAACCTTAAAAAATCAAACATTTTTCACCTGTCTTTTAAATTCAAATGTCCTGCAACTTTTACTGCTACAAGCATGACAAAAAAAAAGTTTATATTTTTTTTGAAAGGTAAGGATTTCCTTTTAGCTAAAATCAGTCAGTCTCTGGCTTTTATGTTATTTTGAATAATCTTTACTCAAATTTTCTCTACTGACTGCAACTAAAATGCAATTTAATTATTTTCAGACAATAGTAACCAACGAAGCAAAATAGTGTTATTGATTTTTATCTTACTCCTCATCAGTGACGCATGATGCATTTCAAGTAAAAAAAAAAAAAATCTTACTCTATTTTCTTATGGCCTGCAATTTGTAACCCCTGTGTCTTTTAATTGTGGAAACCAGAAAAATATAGTAGATATCAGACCAATCCATTCACAACCACTCATGTAATACAATAGATTCCATATTTCTTTTATATATGATGTTGCTTCTCTATCCATTCTTTGTGAGGAACAAATTTCATATTGCAATGAAATTTACCCTGGATTTTATACCTGTAGATGGCTGGAGAATGATTTGATCAAAACATTGGGGTAGCAACAAAAGTAACAAATTTAGTGGCTTGAACAACTCACAGAATTTTCACTAAGCTTAGCTTAATATGACACCAATCCACAAGTATTTGGGGTACCCAGTTAGGATTAATTACACTCATCTGCAAGAAGAGCTTATTAACCATTAGGTAATTACATTAGACAAGACCAGATCCTCATGATAAGGTATTTATTTAAAATAAACCTGAACAAAGCCACTATTGTGGAATACTCCTTGAGACATGTATTGACATTAAGTATGGTATAAGGTCATAATTGTGGAGCACTGTGATATGTGTACAGATATTTACCAAGACTGTTTTACTTTGACAGGGGACATAAAGAAAAATATTTATTTTATAATAACTGTATTGGCAGTGTAAGCAGGAGGAGAAAAAAAGGGGAATGAAAAAGAAAGATTTTAGACGAAATGCTGACTTACGGCCTGACAAAGCCATCTTGGCCAAAACCGTGGTTGCAAGAAGGTATATAGTGTGTGTGTGTGTGTGTGAAACCTGTAGGAATTTAACTAAAATTTTATAGAACATATATGACACTATTTGGGTTGCTGGTAATTAATAATCAAAATGGCAACTTGAAAACAAGATAATAATGAATAACTCAACATGAAAAGGTTTAGCCAATACCAGAAAAATAGTCTTATAGTAAGAATTGTTCCCAGAGAATTGAAATATGTATAATGGACCAAATGATTGATTGAAAGTGATTCTTAGTTTGTGAAAAGAAATCAGTTGTTGACAGCCAGCGACAACTAATGCCTGAATCTGACAAGAAAAGAATTGAGTTAAAAATAAATGAATCCATTTCGTAGGATATCAGAATGAAAAACAATGAATTGAACACCTGTGGCTGATCACTAAAAATTTCCCTGGGAAAGTGTCTCTCGGGTCAGAAGTGAGAGAGCCAAATATGGTGTCAATTCACTTATGAGAAAAGTACATTTGAAACCTTTTTTTTTTTTTTTCATATCAATCTCCAACCAAATGTTAGAGGTGTCAGGCGCAGAAAAGTGATCAAGGAAGGAAGAGGGTAGTCTGCACCCACTGAAGGGTAGCAGGCACAGAGGAGACATTAAGGAGTTTGAAGGAGCTGATCAACAATAGCTGGGGAACAATAGTTAAAGATGGTACTAAGAGAAGGTGGAGGCAGCCAGGTGGATCGATGTCTCCCCACCCCCCCACACACACACGAGAGAGAGGGAGAATTCCCCCAAATTATGAAACTAATTTGATTTCTCAAGACCACAAATAATAGACTTTTATTGGAAATCAGGGGAATCACCAAAACCCAGCCTACATCTTGCTCCACACTAGGTTCTAGTTGGAGTCCATAAAAGTGGATACACTAAAGCCATTCAGACAGTTCAAGAGTTGAGTTTGAGTTGAGTTCAGAGAGACAGCCAAGAAGAGAAGTGACAGAGGTCACTGAGAGATTCCATACTTCCTGCCAAAGACAAGAACCTATGACTTTAACCTTGACCCAAACTTACAAAAACAGTAAAACAAATTTTGATAACTCTGCAAGACAAAGAAACTTACTAGCTTACCCAAGTGTTGCGTCCAATTTAGGAACGGGTTGGGTTGGCAAACACCTTTATGAAGACACAACTACTACTACAACTACAGAATTGATATAAAGATTGTAATTATTTTTTATATATATTTCAAGTGCTTTTTTTTTTTTTTTTTTTTTTACAATTGTATGACTTCACTCAACTTGGACCAGCCGAACATATACCTGTGAGAAATTGATTTTGGCCTCCTTATAATCAAAATAATCATAACGTGGTGGAGTAAGGCAGGTCAAGATCGAAGGGATCACTCCATTGATCAAACTGAGATCGGATTGAAGTGTTGTGAACCAGGATCAATCAAGGTGTTACATTTGGTTTGCTGCAAGTCAGGATCAAGTTAGTGTTATACATGTTTAAAAAAAACAATACATCAATGAGACATTAATCATTATAGGTTTAACCATAAAAAAAACAGTGTTAATTAAAAGAGTAAATTATTAAAGCAAAAACATATTGAAAGTGCACTAATTCCTGAATCCACTACTAAATTTCTGCTCAGGATCCTGCAACATAGCTGCTTAATAAAAGTGATAAAAACGGAAGGAGATTTAATTTAACTTCTGCACACATAAGATGTCTAAATTTAATTTTAAAGACTGATTCCATCAATGAAACTTTTTTTATTAAAAATAAACCTTTAAGTGCCAACTCTATGTGCATCGTCAGTGTTGTTGGTTCCATGTCACTGGAAGTTTTGGGTCTAAATAAACAACAGACTTCTTCGATGGCCAACCTGACCAAATATGATCAGTATTCGGCCTGCACCAGGAATAAAATTTGCTACTAGCTTTAGGACGTGCTTTATATAAGTTCCCCCAGAAAACGGCAACTAATTAAGACTTCACTTGGGCTATTCGATGTTATAGATTGGGTATGCTTGGTTGTACTGATCTTCCTACATGTGGCCAAGTCAGGTAGATTTTTGGAAGAAGAGAAGAAATCAAACCAATATATATATATATATATATATATATATAATATATATATATATATTAATAAAATAAAACGATTTATTATATTGGCTCGCCTTTACGACTTTTCTTTCTCTTCCTACCCTTTTAACTTCTTT